TGTTGTGGTTTACTACTTCTGATAGGCAGTTGGTAACTGAGTGGGTGAGTTTATAATAAGTAAGATACCTTGACACTGACAATTATTTTATAATTTGCTGAACTAATAAACATAATTTAACAAATGGTCTGCCATGCGTAATGAGGTGGAGGCACAGGTTACACTTATATTTAAGATTCAATTTCACACACCCAAGATTCGTGTTCATCCACCCACATCTGCTTTACTGCTGTGAGATCACAGAACTTACAACATTTCCTGTTTTTGTTGCGTAGCTGTGCTGATTTCTTCTTTTCTTCTCGGAAGAAGGGGCCTGATGTTGAAGGACTTTGAAGGTTAAAAACAAAGTAACCTTGTAAAAGATTGTATTGCAAAAAGGGGGGATGATTAATGGAATAGACTCCAGTCTGCTTGCATGTTTCTGGTCTATTGGTGAGGACATGGCATGCAGTGAACAGATCTGTTTTTGGCTAGGAGCAAATCTTAAACAGAAATGCCCAGACAATGCTGCTGACTACACTGAAATTAGGGGGTGGAACTAGACCATATATATTGAGTTGCTGTTTGTTCACCTGTATGTTATAAATACACTCAGAGTCCTCAATATTGTTAGGTAGACTGACTATGTAGGTACACAATTGCTAACTGTAGCTCATCACACTCGGCACTGCATTGACACTATGGCTGTGGCATGTGTATGCTCTGCTAATATGAGCAGCTGTGATTTTTAAACACTGTGTACACTCACTGGCCACTTAAATAGACATAAATATCTTTATGGTGCATCTTGTAGGTGCATTTAGAGACCATGGGGCAGATTGAGATGAGGCGCTAATTACTGACAGTCTGTCGACACATTGCGCCTGTGGGGGTGGCTAATTTAGTAGGTTAGCTGCTAAGAACTTTCAAGCAAATAAGCACAGGTGCAACTTCATAATTAACATATGACCAGCACAATATAAATGTTCATTAGTGTAGTGTGTAATGTAAAGTATAGATGTGTGTGGTTTGGGACACAGCCAAACCATTCTTATCCACTGATTCTGTTTCAGATTGTATTATCTGAATGGTTTATTTTCTCAGCATTGTGACTTCAAAATAATGTCTAATAACCTGGTGGGCTGAGCTAAACGCTTTGTGGTGTAAGTCGACTTTACTCAGAAAATGTCAGGAAACAGACTTAATATTTTCAAGTACAGTTCTTCATTAGTTTTAAGTTGGTAAAGCTTAATAGAACCCTGTATGTGAAACTCATGTTTTGACAATAAATCTGACTATGGCTAAACACCAAAATGTCAAATAATAAAACTTAAAGATTCATGTTATGTTAAGTGGACAGTAAACAGAAAGTTATCATTACAAATCTAAGCGTTTACCTTACTTGGCAAAGATCAGGAAACCAGTTTCCTTAAAAATTTCAAGTAAGCTTAGCTAAAATTTTTAAGTTGAAACAAACAGAGACAATAGTTTGAAGGGAAAAGACTGGTTATTTATTTGTAACATAAGACAAGTTTTCTTTGAGGTTCAAGTTTGTTTACAGGCATGTTGGCAAACTTGCTTCTCAAAGTGCTGTGTAAGAACTAGTGTAAAAACTTAAATCTTATCCATATGGAACAATGTGTTCATTCAGTTGGAAGTAATCCAAATTCAGGGTATAAATCAGCTCAGAAAGTAGCCACATCTTATTTGGAGAATTTTCAAGGGTGTTTAACACTGTAGCTGTTGCTGAAGCTTCCTGGTGCAGAGAGTGAGGAGAAGCCACAGTGCCTTCAGGCATCACTGTCAGTGTCCCAGTCATGATGCGGAATACATCCAGAGTTATCACAGTCCTAACAACAGCATGTAAAGAAGCCAACAGTTCTAGTTTTAGCTCATCTGAAAGCACACTCAAACCACTCACTTGTCGAGGCCTCTTCCTCAACTCTAGTGCCACTTTAACCCAGAGTGGCTGAAACAATGCACTGCTGTGATTGATGTTAATGTGGTGTCCAAATTCCCCAGTTTTCAGACTATACTTTTGTGCTGTGAAGATTTTTGAGCGCACTTTCAAACGTACTCCTCTCTGTGTTACAACCTTTTTTCGTTTGTGCTACTGATTTTTTTAGCCTGCTAGCCCAAGTGTCACCGCCTAAGTTAGCACACATTTATACATATACATATTTTAACCATCAAGCTGCAACGTATATTGAGATGATTTCTCTATTGCTTCTTCCTGCTCTGGTCTTTTGTCCTTCCCACTCACTCAAAGTGCATTAATAGTCAAATAGCTCTGCCCATGGTTCTTATTATTTAGATAAACCTGCTCTTAATACACTTTGAAAAGAGTAAAATATATTCACAGAATTAGAAAATAGCAGTTTAAAGCACTGTTCAACAAGAAGCAATCAGTTTAGATTTTTTTATTTTCTTCATCAAATTAATGATGATATAACATGTTGGGCATTCACAATTTTTGTTAGATTTTTTTAGCTGGAAATAAATTCATTTGTGCTATAAACACTTTATTTTCTCTGTCTCTTAGCAACAGCAATGACAGCCATGTTAAATAGTGTGTTAAATAATGTACAGAACTATAACATTATCCTCCTACATGCATATGCATTTATAGGAAACTCCTATAGGAATAGCAAATTTCTATAAAGGCATATGCAAAGTGAAAAAGAGCAGCGACCGCCTCTCTGATGTTCTTACAGGCACTAAAGAGTCCTTGGCCCTTTTTAGTAATTCGCGACAGCCACTTGTTAATGCCAACACAATGTGTCCTTTCCTTTGCTTTCTTTTTGGATTCTCTTGTGAGCACCCTCCAGCATCTGATCAACTCAGGTGAGGTCACTGAGTGGGAGTTCTCTTTAAGTAGAAATTCTCTGTTGATACTTCACATTAGACCTCAGAGAATGTCTCGTCATTTTGTAGCTCACTGGTAGCATCCGTATAAGCCCTTAGTCTGATCCATTTTTGTCTGTGGGCAAAATTTATGATGTCACCCCATCATGTTTTTTGGTTCCAAAGCCTACACATTTTGTCCCACATTAATATCATTGGCATTTGTCATTGTGTCATTTGTTTTACAAGGTAGTCTGAACAGTAATATTTCTACATATATGCAACATGTAAGCCAATGTTAGCCACTCCTGTACATTTAATTCGCATCATAAGACCAGAATACATCACACAAAACAACTTTCTTAAGTGTGGTAGTCAACTAACTACCACAGTGCTAACTGCAGTACACTACAATCTAAAAAGCTGGTAGTGTCATCGCAGTGTTGATTAGTACTAGATTGTAGCATATTACTTGTAGTTGTAATAGCGTATATTTACAGTGGTAGCCTTATTTTCAGGTAACTTAATGACATCAGATCAGAAAGAGCTTATTATTATTATTATTATTATTATTATTATTATTATTATTGAATCATTGATTAAATGCAACGTGTGTGTGATATATGTTCCCGATCATATGTTTTGTGGTTCAAAAAGGTAGTTTGTGAAAACTGAATATCAATCTGCAAGTTTTCAGCTTTGTTGATCATATTCTTTACATATCAAAAAAATGCAACAGCAGCTCTGAGAAGTCATGTAATTAATGTGGAAGATCAGATTAAAAGGCAGAAATAGTCTTGGTTTTGCATTGGTCCTAAAGGGTTAAAAGAAGTATGTCAGTGTATTCACTTTTACAAACTTCTCCTAGTGGCAGCTCAATATTATTTGTAGTTATAATCCAGTGTCTGGTTTGTCTAAGTTAGTGCCTCATCATGTAAAATTAAGTCTGCTTGTGATGGATAAATCTATTCTACAAGAAATAATTTATATCTATTCCAATGTTATTTGGTGTTTTAACTGGCAAAAACACTCTTATTACCCCAATAAATAGTTTTAAACATTTTACTTAGATGCCTAAGGCCTTTACACAGTATTTTTATGTAGCAATATTCATATTTTGATCCCTTAAATCAAAGGATCAGAGAACTTCGAGACCTTCAGGGGAAGATGCCCAAACACATTGGCCTTGGAACATTTTTGTTTACCCAAATGCTGTTCATTTTTTTCCCATGTCTGTCTATCTATCTATCTATCTATCTATCTATCTATCTATCTATCTATCTATCTATCTGTCTAAAAGATTTGTTTGATTTTGCGCCTAGGAACCAATCACATACCAATTGAAAGAGGGGGTCATAGAATTTCTGACTGTCACTGGAAGATGATCTGCGAGGAGATGGCGACCCCTGAGCAGAAAGCGTTTTGCGTTCTCCACTTCAATAAGAGTGAATCCATCATAACTGTGCAACTTGATTTTCATCGGCAGTGAACCTCCAACAGCTTAGAGCGTTCGTCGTTGGTTCCACAACACTGGATGAGCTCCGAAACCGCATTGAAAAAGCCGTGAGTACAGTGACACCCAACATGCTCAATCGAGTATGAGATGAATTTGACTATCGCGTTGATGTCTGTACAGCTGGAGGAGGTTCATATTGAGCACTTGCAAAATTACATAATAAACTTTATGCTCACTTAAACCATTCACGATTTACTGCATTGTTCTGTAATGACTTACAAGTGAAATAAATCATTTTGAAATCGGATGAATCTTTTTTAATCACGCTGTATCACCCAGTATATATATATATATATATATATATATACATACATACATAAGATATCAGTGAATAAAAACACATACTGGCCCTTACGACTTACTTCTAAGAAATCCTGTGATGTTGAACTTGGATATTGTTTAATGTTACATGACTCCAGTCCTGTCATCAAGAATAAAGTCCAAACATAGAACTTGGTGTAGCAAATAATGTACTCCTTTTTTAAAATAAACACTCCAGGCTATATTCTACTTTTGAATGTATCTTTCATTATCAGTTTGTCTTGTTTTCAGTCTTTATTATGAAAGCTAAGTCAATCTCTGGCTTGCTTCTTCTTTTTTTTTCTTTCTTTTACAAATCATGTGATCCCGGTAGATAAATGCAGAACCACAGAGCTGCCCTGGCCTAACGCAGAGAGTGGCTTCACAAGTGTAATCAGATTAGTCTGATCTTGTCTTGGTGCCGTCAAAGACAATGAAAACGCTCTCAGGCCGCGGTGCTTTATGTGGTGAGTGCTGTTCTGTGATTACGCTTCTTTATCGTTTTTTATCTGTCATTCAGTTTTCCAGTCGTAAACAGATCTTTACGCTGCATTTAAATAATGAGAAAGATGGTGTGTGTATGTATCAGATGTGCCTTATGAGACTTTTAGCTTTACAGATGGTTTGTTTAATTGTATTTTTCATTAGTTGGTTATTTTTTTAACCCATCACATATTTTGAGACTTTGAAAAAGTTCATATGATAAACTCTTCTGTATATCCTCCAAACAGTCTTTATCTAAGCCTCTTGATGTTTTTTAGGCCAAAATGTGAAGTTTGGATACCTTAAATATTATTTTATTCTGATATTGTGTAACATTATTCCACTTTTTCTTATTTTAAACATGTTTTAAAACCAAAAATTTCAAGTTTTAATTCTGAGATCTAAAATCTAGCGTACATACTGCCCTTTCTTTTTAAAATGAGGATGTGAAAGGGATTTATTTTTCAAACCCAGTTCTTCTTCTTCTTCTTTGTCTTCAATTATTGAGCAACAGCACAGTTTTAGATGGTACCATGGAGGAGGTCTGGCAATTATTTTTTGTTGGGGGGGCAGTGAAACAAAAAAAGGGTGAACAAGAGAACAAGAGAATGAGAGAGAAAGAGATAGAGATGGACTGTTTCCTGTAAGATAATTTCTTAATCAAGTACAGAATGTTCTAAGGCCATTGTTTTACTGGACAGAAGAGTTACATACCATCAGGGAAAAATGAAAATGACTCATGTGGACAACAAGTAAGCAAAAGAGAGATGTGTTAAGGATGTACTCCATGGCCATTTATAGAAGAGCTGTTCTTTCTCTTACTAGTATTACTTGCTATTTTAATGAATCCATTTCATGGAAGCAAACAAAGCAATTTGTGGCAGCAGAGATTCTTAAAGGCCTACTACTATATGTAAGTCATTTGTTATGTTCTGCCATATTTGCATTAATATGATAACTTTTTGGTTAATAAATGCATGGAGGCAAATCGAGAGAGAGAGAGAGAGAGAGAGAGAGTGAACACACATAAGCAATACTGAGGTCCTTTAATGGAAAATGAGAAATTGGCAGTCTCATTTGTGTTCACAAGCACATTAAATCATGGTGCTGGAGCAACATGCCAGGCGGTCACAAAAGAAATCACTACAAATATAATAACTGCACTCTCCCCAGCAGGCTGCAAAGCACATTTAGGAGCCACAGGCAATTAGCCCCTGCAATAGGGAGAAACGCTGAAAGGCGAATGCCGAGAAGTGAAGGCCTTTATGTGAGCCACTGATAAGAAAAGAATAGAGTATAACTTCAATACTGCCATCTTACTAACATTCACACACACACACACACACACACACACACACACACACACACACACACACACACAGAGAGAGAGAAAGAGAGGTTCTTTATTTACCACAGGGGCTGATTGTGTTGGAATGTTTCTACTACTCGGAAAAATAAACTGACGCTTTTAAATTTGGCTGAATTAATATTTTTCTACACTGATCAGGTGCAGCTGACTTTAGACACAGAGTTCTTATGTGTTACTCTGTCCAACCTCTGTCCACTGTCTTGGTACTTTGTCATCATTTTACCAAAAATAATTACACAGCACTTTAGAGTTTGTATGCCACACATATTCAGTTAGTATCTAGAACCTGTTGGGAATTCTGTATAATTTTGTTAAACTGTCTTGGAACCTCCCATCAGATTATTCAAAAAGGTAGCACTTTGCAGTTTGACCATGAATATATGACATTCTGCTTCTTTCTTTTTTATTACTTTTCAGTCATGTCTGGACTTCAGGCTTTTTATTTTACTTTTCTATTAAAAAGTTGTAAAAAGGCTTGAAATTCTGAACTGGTATGAATATGCCTCTTTCCCCTGGGTAATGGACCTTCAAGACTAAGCTTTAAGGTACAATCGGACCTTTTTAATTGCATAGCGTGTTCGATATTTTGGCTCTTTTCTAGATTGTTCCATTTATATTCTCATATAAGCAGGTTCAGTTTTGCACTTTTCTGTAAGACTGTGAGAATGTGACACCTCTCAGGGTGTCGGGAAATCACACATAAAGCGTAGAAGATACAATGTAGATTATTGTAGAAAATTAATGGGTGGGGTGATTAGTTCACTCTGTGTGCAAGGCTAAAGCACTGATGGTGAAAGTAAAAAAGACCGTGTGAGATTAGAGGGTCGCAAAGCAGGTTGTGCAACAGACTGATTTCCTGCTCTTTTTGGCCCCTGTGGTTCAGGATGGAGCTAACGGTACACCGCAAAACAGCCAAAGAGAGCGAAACACACAGAGGAGAACCGAGAGGAATGTCCACTCCTGGCAGCAGCTCGTCAGTATAACGTTTTTGAGCTTTTACCTTTCTCTTTTCAGAAAGCTTACACTGTACACCAGGCATGGAGGAATAGGAATCCTACATAGATGTTTTGTTCCGGCCCTGAAAGGACTGCTGCTCCTTACGCTGTGTACGCCCTTTTTTCATTGTTTATTTTGTTCTTTTTTGCAACAATGAACATTTGTGGGTATATGAAATTGTGTTGATCTGACTTATTGTGTTGATTTGGCTCAGTTTTGTTCACATCTTAATGCACTGAATATACATTGAGTGTGTGATAACTGACATAACAAAAGCAAATTTTGTCTCTTTTCTAGACTGTGACATCATGGCCCATGGCTGGATCTCAGTACGTGTGGTGGTGTGGTCAATTATGTGTTCATTCACAGCAAGTAAGAGCATAAAATTTTCCTCTTGATAACTTTTTACTTCTAATTACATCGTTCATTTTATGTAGGTGAGACCAAGAAGTGATATTCACTGATATCCCCTCTTGGATTTGTAGGATAACCACAAATAGCAAAGTACCACTTTGAAGTCACTTTTAGAAAGAGAATGCAAATGAACTATTTTAACAGCATCATTCTGAAAAACAAAGGTGGCAACTAAAGGGTTCTTTGGAGTAATGACCACTTTTATAAGTCACTTTTGGTTTCCCTGAAGAACTTTTCCATGGATGTTTTAGAGAACCACTTTTGTAAACGATATGTGATATGAGTAACTTTTTAAAGTTTAAAAAACCTCCTCGCAATGTGAAAGTTCTATACCAATTATCAATTTGTTCCTAGAACCATACATTCAAGCCAGGCACAATTAAAGAACCTCTGATTTTAAAGAGTGTAGTCTGACTTGAGCAGGTCATTGAGCATTCAACAAAACATCCATGGGTGTAATTGTCGGTCATCCAGCTGGTACGACTAAAGACACATTTACGGCAATGCTGTGACACTTTTCACCATGTGTGTTGAAATAGCCTAGCTGTCGAGAAGATCAACTGCAATGCTGTGTTTCGTAAGGCTTAGGTGGGGAGGGTAGCTTACTCTCTTGTTATAGCATGGAGTCTGCTTTCATATCCCTGTCTTCATTCTCTTTCGTATCTCTTCTTCTCTAAAGATGTCAGATCATCACCATGTGCTGAGGTCCACGCTCCATCTGCAGTGGTACCGATTGGCTCCCCAGTCACAGCTTCCTGTTACATCAAAGAAGACTGTCCACTAACAAAAGGCCAAGATTTTCATGTGGAGTGGCCTTACCAAGCTAATTTAAACTATAGTGATGTAGCTAATCAGAATGAAAGCATTAAAGAAATCATCATACACAAGTTCACAGACAGGATAGCGATGCTGCATTGTGCCATCTGCAGACATGAAGACTGCAATGTCGTAGCTGGTGTGGAAATCAAGGCAGCAAGTAAGGATTTTTCCTGTGGTTTTAAATGAGTTTGATCAGTGCCTGATCACACATTATAAACTAACTAACTAATCTGACCTAACAGTCATTAATGAGCAGACAGTTATCTTTATATCTTTAATATATGTTATTTAGGAGAAACTGAATTACCTTCTGTTCATATTGGCATTGTATCATTCATATTTTCTCCACTTTTAGCATTTTGCAATTCTAAAGTGAAGATTTTATTTGCATACAAAAAAGTTTAGATTTTCTTCCATTCTTGTGTTCATATAATCATTGTTGTATTACAACCTTGTAGCTCTGTAACTTTCTAGGGCACAGAAGAAATGCTATTAACTTTAATGCACACTGATTACATGTAACAACAATGTAATGACAACAACGATAATAACACGAAAAGCAATTTTGGTCCATTTCTGTTGGTCAACTCATAATTATTTTTTTTTGTAAAGGGCACTGGGCATTTTCAAATAGTGCAAAAGAATAAAAACAAAGAAAATAAAGCTACAAGGTTTTGATATGATAGTGACAATAGGAAGCGACATGTACAAGTATACATTTTACATGAAGGAGTTGCAGTGCATTCATTCCTTTAAATTGTGGCATAGCAGTTTAAGCTGTTTTTCTCTATGCTCATTTATACTGTACAATGGAGTTTTGTGAAAATATGCCTCATTCCAGTTCACAATTTTTGTTATCTATAAAGGTCCTCCTCCAGCCCCGCAGAACCTGACTTGCCTGTTAAATTTAACTGCACCATGCTCACTGTTGTGCACATGGAACCCTGGTCAAGAAACATCAAGCATTCCTACAAACTATACTCTCCACACAGAATTTGGGTATTTATAACAATTGTAATACTCAGTAAATTTTTTCCTTAGTATGAAAACAGTTCTACATTACAACAAACTTTATCATAATATGAAGACATCAATCAAAATTGTACTATTCTAAGGAATGTTTTTATTTTCATTTATTTATTTTTATTTTTTAAGAACACAGAGGTTTGACTACGTTCTGGCACCTAGGAAGCATTTCTACAGGGTCCCACGCAATGGCTTTGCCTTGTTTTATACGGTGCATGTTCATGTAGAAGCAGTGAATGCCCTGGGCCGAGCCACCTCTGAGCACTGGGAGATGGACCCTATGGAAACAGGTTAGAAAAGCACTTCTATCAACTACTCTAGGAAAACTACAGACACTCTGTTTGTGAACATATTCAGGACCTCTTGTTCATGTCATTTGTTTCCTTTACAGTTAAGTTGGATGCTCCAGAAATTCAGAATGTTTGGACAGGGAAGTACGGATGCCTACGACACATGTGGAGTCTCTCAGAACCACAGAGGTGGATTGTGAAGCGTATGTTTATGGAGATCAGACTTACAACTATGGATGGCAAGGTTTCGGACAGAAAGCAGGTTACTTTTCTGCTTATTTCCACTATATTTGTCAGAAATATTACTGGAGAATTCCTTCAACTTTTACAAACAATTCATTTTTGCTAATAGCAAAATTGAAGTATTCTTTGAAATCAATGGGGAAGCTTCCCTTGAGAATTAACTGTACCATAGCCATTCCTCCTCAAATCATTGTCTCATTATGTTAGTCTAGAACTTAAAGGCAAAAGTTTGGATGCCCTTGGTCAAATGACATGTTGCTTTTCTAAGTGGAAATAAGTACAACACATCCTCTACAGAGAACTTATTTAACGCATTTTCACTTAGAAAAACGACAAAATGTGGAAACTTTTGCATACAGCTGTATCTCCAGTAGTTTATAAACACCTGCTCCATGTTTTCTTCTGAAATCAAGAGAATTAATATTCAGCCTGTCCCCTTCTACTTGGATGAGAAAGCTTTACACTAGATGTTGGAACATTGCTGTGAGGAATTGATTGAATCAGCCATTAGTGATTTCAGGCACTGATGTTAGATGATTAGCTCTGGATCACAAGTAAAACTCCAAATCACCTTAAAGTAGATGAATTCACTAATTAGAAGGGGTGTTTACAAACGTTTGGACATTTGTCTACTTAGCAGCTTGTAAGAGCTCATCCCAGAACACTCAAATGAAAGGAGATGAAAGATTGATAATATTTGCAAAATATCCAAAAGCATCTTAATCTTTGCCCCATAATTTAAATCTTTATTTTTTTTTTGTTTACACTTTATTTCAGCTTATCTACAGTGTAAAAGGAATCTAGCTGGTGAAAATCAGCTGATTACAAAAGCTTAGGGTTATGGCTAAGTTTAATTTAGTAATAAGTTGAGTTTAGGCTTATGAAAATATTTTTATTTGTTTTTTGTTTATTTGTTTGCTTATATATGTGTTTATAATAGGATAATAAGTACTAATCTGATTATTTCCCATAGGTTACGTTTAGTAAAAATGGTAAATCTGGCAAACCAGTTGACGTGTGTGATCTGCTTCATGGAATGAACTACCAGTCTGAGATGAGGGTGAGGTATCTCAGCAGCCCATGGAGTGAGTGGAGTCATCCCACTGTGGCTACTACCCTCATTAAAGGTACTCCCAATTTTTCTGTGTCTGCTGTAGCTTCACTCATCACATCATCCTGTCAGCTGAAAGTAGTAAGTGCTGAAGTAAAAGGCTAGGGAGTGAACATTAGATGAGTTGTGTGGAGGTTCTAGTCACAGAAATGTTTGGACTCAGCCAGACAGTTGACTAGAGTGTAAAGCCTGAAACACTCCTGCAGTGGAACTACCTTCTGTGCAGCAAGTGGTGCTTAAAGCTGGGAATTATACTGATCAATCACATCCCCCTGGCAGTTGGTTGTAATTTAAAGTCAAAGCCATTCCCATCAATGTGACATAGCAGTACCAGTGCTTGACATATAGAGTAGCCAGTGGAATCTACTCCAGAACTCTCATGGAAAGAATAAGAAAACTCTGAGAAATGCAGCTGTGAGCTGTCTGCTGACGATGAGCATAGCCCTGGTCTCCTCTGAAGCCAATTTATTTATCCTTTCATTTTAGTCCTTAAGGTGTTTGAACTCAAAATATAGATATTTTTGCTCAAAATATAGATATTTTTGCTTTGCAACTGCTTGCTGTAGGAACATACCAATAGGTCTCTTTCAATTCACTACAAATCAATGAATATAAGTCACATCTTCCTTCCAGAGATTGCCAATATGACTTGTGTATTCATAAACCTTGCTCTTGCTGTGGCCTTATCAAATTCAAATGTATTTCTCTAACTATAATTTATTTAGAGTGCAGTGTAAGAGGTGATGAGAACGGTCTATGCTACAGTGTCTCTAAAAGCTGCACTTAATCACCAGCACTGCTTGATAAATGCTAAAAGCCTTGATGTAGTGATGTGTGCTGGATCGACCGGTCTCTTTTCAGCTCCCGCTGGCCATCTGGTCACATGGTTGAAGCTGCTGGGGCAGTCCGCAAACAGGCGTCACCGAGCTGAACTGTTTTGGAAGGTGAGAAGCCAACAATTACAACACCTCACAGAGCTGTGTTTCTAAAGGTTTGGACTGGTTAACCACTTAAACCCTAAGGGCTTCTGTGTGGGCCACACATCAATTCACTCACTCTCATTCCATATCATGGAAAAACAAATTTCCCTCATGTTTTTGTAATAAAAGACTTTGATGCACTATGTAAACTTTCAAAACGTATCATTCACTACCCAGTCCATACAGTCCATATAACTAAGCTGTTGCTGTGATGTTGTGAAAAGCAACATATTTACATCTATGCACCTATTCTAGCCTAGCAGTTTAGCCCTGCCAATCTATGCTGAAGTTATACGTAGTGTTATAGCATGGACTGCTTTTTGAAAGAGACGTAATGCAGGCCCGCCAATCAGGACAGAGCTCATCTATGCAGATCCGTCTCCAAGGCATAGGAACGAAAGGGATAAAGGGATAAAGATTCTAATGGATAAAGAGAGGTTAGGAAATGGTCAAGCCAAATGATTAATGACTGTTTTTGGTACATAAAACCACATACATGTCATAAGTCATATGTGGATTTTAGGATGAAAAGATAAAATACTAGATATGTAGGATATAGGCTCTTTAAGAATAATAACCTAATAATAAGCCTGGAGTTTAAAGGCCGAGTGAAGATGTTTTTCTCTTCTAAACTAATTGAGTTTTTAGCAACGCCAGGAATTATGACTCACGGTGATGGTGGGATATTGATGCCATGACTGTGCTATGTAATATACGGTTTACTCTCTGATGTGCATAATCAAATAGACAACCTCACACAGTTTAACCAACCTCCATAATGTAACTAACAGTCACTGTTTGGCAATGCTCTGTCAGATGTTCACTGACGTGTTACACTCTTTCCCTCTCAGCCATCTTTGCAGTTCCGTGCCAACAGCATGAATGTGTCTTACATCGTCTCACTCGTGAGACCACTCAGCCAGAGGAATACTGTGTGTAACACATCCCAGCAACACTGCTCTTTCCAGATCCCTGTAGATGTCAGAAAGATCCACCTGACAGCTGTGAACACAGCAGGAAAATCCAACCCCACTGAGGTGGCAGTGTACAAACGTACAGGTAGCTATAGTGCATTTAGATATATTGCTTTTTGTCCTTCTGTCATTTCTACTAGTCATGTAATTCCTATAAATAAACAAGTAATTACAGCCTAAATAGACAAGTACAGACTGATTTTATTTTAAATTAACCTCTCTTTGTGTTTCCTTGCAGAACGGGGCCCTGTGCCTTATCTGAGAGTTTATCCAGAATCTGAAGAGTCTGTGCTGACAGAATGGTCAAGCCCAGTGGCCTCAGCTGTTAGCTTTTACATATTAGAGTGGAAAGCACTGCATGAGGCTAGTACCATCTCCTTTGAAATTGTGGACAAAAATCAATCCAGCTTGGTAGTAGCAGGTACAGTGCAAATTCAAAAGAAAATGCCCATCTACAGTTTTATTTTGATCACACTTTTTTACATTTTTAACTTGCTAAAATGCTTGCTAAAATCTTTCTATCTTCAATTTTTAGGTCTGGAGCCTTACCAGCCATATAATATTTCAATATATCCAAAGTATAACAATGGCATTGGCCAGCCCTGTACAGTTATGGCATACACAAGACAGAAAGGTTAGTTTTGGCTGAGAAATGTGGCTGAGGCAGTACAGAACTGTTGATGTGAAAATGTACAGTAGAATGGATAATGATACAACACTTCCCTCTAGTGGATCTCGTGGTGTAGTTTTGCCATAAATTGATGTCAATAGTGCAGCGGCTTATACTGTTATAATAATAATAATAATAATAATAATAATAATGACAATACCTCAATAAAAAGCTATAATGCTGGTTCTCCATGATTCCAGCCCCCTCTAAATCTCCAGAGCCACAGTTTGGAGAGATCAGACCTTCATATGTCGAGCTTTACTGGGACGAAATCCCACTGCAGCAGAGGAATGGAATCATTACTAGCTATCGGGTTTTCTACTGGGATGACAAGAACAGTGTAGGAGGTAAACAAAAATAATATTGTCTTTGTCTTCTTATACCTGTTGTACTCTTTCACTAACAGCAGTGCTTATCATAAAGTTATAGACCTTGAGGGGACGGAGCAACGTGTGATTCTGAAGGATCTTCAACCTTCTTCCATTTACAACATCATCCTCATGACTAGCACAACTGGTGGGAGCATCAATGGGACAACTGTCACTGTGAAGACTCCTTCTATTGGTAACTGATGATTTCTGAATATTTTCATCATGATTAGTTTCCTTACCAATGTGTCATACTGTTCAATGACTTATAAATCAAAAATATATTTTTTTTAGATGCCTTTGAAATAGTTCTGATTGTTATCCCAGCCTGTGTTGGGCTGACACTTCTGTTCCTTGGAGTGTTTACCTGTTTCAGCAATAATCGGTGGTAAGCTCCTCAAATGTCTACTGATAGATTTGCTCAATGCTTTAAGATCTAGAGTACAATGTTGTTTTTTAATGTTACAGCTTGAAGAAGTGCTTGTGGCCAATGATTCCTGACCCGGCTAACAGCAGTATTAAAAAGTGGACAATGGCCAACTCACAGCAGGTATGTCATGGTTCTGGACTTTACCCCGACAGTCCCAGCCATCAGAAAGATTTATTCAAATCCACTACCAGCACACCTTAATGAACCACTGATTACCCAAACAGGGCATTGGATTTCTTAATGATAACGACAAAGTAATGCTGGGCTGCTGGCAGGGGAGGTTGGAAATGGTTAAGGGAACACATTGACATATGTAAAATCATTATTTACTTTATTCATAGAATTCATATTTATTCTAATATTAGTGCTTTTCTGAGCAAATGAGGTAAATATCTCAGATAAATAGCTTTTTAATTCATTTTTTTTCACGTGCGTAAACCATTCCACACTTTTTACTGTATGTGACTGCATATGGATGTTTCCTAGTAATGAGGTCATGGAAGTAAGGATGACCTTTAATTTTTGCTTTTATTTTAGTTTGTCTTGCCTGCTGTGAAAATGAACCAGTGTAGGGGTGTCCAGTCTTATCCACAAAAAGGGTCAGTGAGGCTACATGTTCTCTTTTCAGCACAGCAGGTGCACATGTGATCAGTCGTTTGAAGACTGAGAGCAACTGATTTAAGCAGTAGAATCAAGTGAGCTCCTGCTTGTTAGGAAGGGAGAGCTGCAGCCCTTTGTGTATAAGACTGGACACCCTGTAATAGTGTAATCATTTGACAAATTACATTAGATCTGTATACTTGCAACCATAACATTTCTGTATAGACTCTTTAAAAAGATGTTTTTAAGGGTTCTTTAATAAAGGGAATCATTCTATTTAGAACCATGAATGCTATATAGAACTATTTCATGCTTAAATGGTTCTTTGCTTGGTAAAATGGTTCTTCAGATTAATGGAGAATGTGTTGTATCTGGTTAACTGCTTACATATAGCACCAGAAAGGGCTCTGCTATTGTTAAGATGTCAAGCTGGTAACAATAGAAGAATCCTTTTTGCTGCTATATAGAACCATTTTCAAAAAAGGTTCTATATAGAACCATATACAACACATTCTCCATTAATCTAAAGAACCACTTCACCATGCAAAGAAGCATTTATGCATTTAATTGTTCTATATAGCACTCCTGGTTCTAAGCAAAACCATTCCCTTTACTAAAGGACCCTTGAAAATTCATCTTTTGTATGAGTTCCACTTTCAAAACCACTTTCAGGTGGTTTAGACCCACTCAGGGTTTTTTTCATTAACTGAGTTGTTGAAGGTGGGCTTTCCACATACAAAAAATACTAATGCTACATTGTGATTAATACTATCTTTATTTTAAGAAAGTGTTAATCATTTTACATCCGCTGTTATTCTTTTCAAAAACTTGTTATATCCCAAAGTGGTACAAACATGTACACAGCATTATAGAATAAACTCTTCTATAAAATCTATAAGATAATTAATTATTTGCCACATTGTTCTCTACAGGACATCCCCTCATTTAAAGAGGTCAAGGACCCTGTCCTGGTATATCTCTCTCACTTCAGTCTTCTGAGCTTGTCTGAGAAAGAGCTGTGGAAGGGAAGTCCCTCAACATCTGAGTACCTCCACTGTGGCAAATGGTCATACGATGGTAAAAGTGTTAATGACGACCACTCTGACTCTTCCCGTGATTCAGGAATCTATAACTCAGGGTCTCAGAGTGAGTCTGTGCCTTACGCCACCGTTGTGTTTGCCAATTCATATCGCACCCAGCCCGCAGCACCACCAGCCTACCTGCGCTCTGAATCCACACAACCCCTCCTGAGCGAAGAGGAACCTTGCAGTCCTCGCCCATACGAGAAAATGTCAACTCAAGCAGAACTCTCTGAAGCAGACCATTTTTCCACATTTCAGGAGGATTTAGGGAACAAAGAAGAAAGGGTTTCACTTTGGGAAGATTTCCCTATGCTCAAATCTTTGGAAGTCAAGAGCATTAATGATCAGGCCTGAATTCACAAGGGCTGCATTCACATTGTACTGGCATAATAGAATGCATAGCTGTGACTCTAGCTGTGTGCTGGTTTTGGAATTAGCAGTGGACCATTTTGCAATATATAAAGACTTTATTGGGAAATGTAGTATACACATATGAATGTTCCTAAATGAATGCAACGAGTTTATCAGCAGCAATCTGTGACTAACAGCCCCATATTGTACTGTTCAAAAGTCAGAAATAACCTTTCATTCATTTAATTTTCAGTCAAAACAGGAAGGTATTCATTTTTCAGGACAAGGGGAAAAAATCATAAAACCAATATAAAAAATGATTAAAATGAAAAAGTCTCAACAACTAAATATAGTACGATTTTTATTATTTAATGTTTCTACACTTTGTCTTTATTACAGCTTCCATTCTTTTGGACAGAATTGCTTTCAGTTTTCTAAGGAAATCTGCAGGGATATTTTCCCACACCTCTGAAGAAGTTCAGTTTTAGAAGTTGATTGTATTTTCTGCTTCTCGAATAATCCCAAACACATTCAGGGATGTTGAGTCAGGACTCTGATGTGGTCAATCTATTGTTCAGAGAACACCATTAGCTTCTTTAGATGATTTGCAAAATATTCTTTTTTTAATCTATTTCCTTTTCTCAGTAGATTTTGGATTTTTTCAGATCTGAAGCAAGAGTGGAGCTTCTCTTCTCTCTCAAAGATGAAAGCTTTAAGTACTGTTTATCTGATGGGGACAGTTTTGGTTGTCTGCCACACTCACACAGTTGTTAGGAGTCCATTTTTTTCTATTTCTCTAATTTCTCTTTTGATCATTTATTGAATTCTAGTTTTGAAAACTCGGTTAGGGTTAGGGTTAGCGTTTTTTTCCTTTGACTTCCCCTCTCCTTATGTAAGTGATATTATACCTATTCTCAGAAATATCTCCTGAAAAATAAATAACTTGCTGTTTTGGTTGGAAATTAAATAAATGAAGGGTGATCTCTGTCTTTTGCACAGTACTATAATTTGTTGATAATAACATGGCAGGATGTCTAAGGTAATTAATCACACTTACTATATTTTTCAAATAGTAATGAGTAAAGTGCTAAGTATTTTTGATTGGACAGAAAGCTGAGACTGCAGCTGTAGACTAGCTCTCTGGTTGAAGTGTTCTCATAGTCACTGATGTTAGTACAGGCTGAGTTGCCTAGAATAGCTTCATGTTTAGATTAGAATATTAGGACATTCACTACTTATGCTAGCAAGAGGAAATAACAGTTCACACTGAAATGCTTAAAATAACTTTTGGTTTGTCAGATTCAAATATTCGCCTTTTTTTTTACCTCACTTTCTCCAGTTGAAATCCCTCCAAAGGACATGCAGTTCTCTGATTGCATTAACATCCCTCAGTGATTGCCACTAGTTTCCTTTCTAATGTTCATTACAAGGGAGCAAGCTGTAGCTGTCCAGGTCCTATGGTAATGAATACATTCAGTATATTCATTGACCTACAGAATAGAATGTAATGCTCCAACAATCAAACTCATTTTGAGTGAAGCTAGTCTGCCCTCCATGACAAGCTGTGCACTGAAGCCATAATTTAACTTAGCTGGTGTTAATCAACCCACATGACTGAGAGACGCAATGTAGTTCTATATTCTAGCTCTTACTGCCAGATTGTAATAATAATTAAATAATTTTATATTATTTCTAGGGATGCACTGATATAGGAATTGTGAGCTGATGCCGATCCTATATTTTTCTTCGAACGTCCTATTTTTTTCCTGAACAAATTTGTCGATGCATAAACATTCATAAACGTAGAATACATAAATATTCCAATGTAGACATTTGGACTAAATCTATTTGGATTAGCATTAAGAGAAATGTAACATACACAACAAAGTGTAGGTTAGAAATGCAATCAAACTAATAAAATGTAGATAATTCTGTAGAAGCCCAGCATCTCCTAATCATTCTGCACTTCAGCACTACAATAAATAAGTCCTCAAATCTCGATTTGGAATATCGGTCAAATCCAAACATCTGTTCAAGGCTGGTAATGTTTTGAGGAATTATCTGCTGATGCTGATACGATTCCAATATTATCACGCACCCCTAATTATTCCTGTTTATTATTTTTGGGGCATTTTGCTTGTTAATGTTAATACATTTTAAATTGACTTTTACCCATGCTTTACAAGTAGATTTAAGTGACTTATATTTGAGCCTGCAGTGGCATAACTAGGATCTTGTGTGCCCCAGTGCAAAAAATGAATGGGCCCAATCATATGAAAATTACTTTTGATATAAAACAACCATATAATTTGCTGGTTTACTTGCTATTGTTATGTCTCAACCAACACCCACCAGCTCTATAGTTAACTAAAATGTGTATATTACAAGTGAAGAATCTGTTACGACATGAATAGATATGAACAGACATCATACTAGATAAACAGATGTCAGTTCTGTCTGTGTAGCTAACTGGTGAGGTATTTTCATTAAGAAACTGGATCTCTCTGTAAGTCATGAGTGTACAGTTGTGTCAGTATCTATATGAGGAGCCCCATAAAGAGTTTAAGGGGCCAAGTCTCTGCAGGATGCCCCTTAGGCCCCAGTGCAGTCACCATCCTCCAATAGTTATGCCACTGCGGGCCTGAGTTTTTGTGGATGACATTGTATGTGTTGTTTCATTTGTGTGTTGTTTGTTTTGTTTTTGTATGAATGATTTTGTCCTAATTAGAGAATCACAGAGCTTCACTGACTGTATGTATGTATTTATGTCTGCTGATGGATCTGTTTCTACTTTTAATACTGCATTCTACAAATACAAGAACACTGTCTCTATAATTCTTCTACGCTCTAAAACATAATGTGTTAAACAACAACACACTTGTGTTACATGTTTGTATACTTTTTGTGTCATATTGTTCTCTGATTTAACACATTCTTTGTTAAAAATAACACATATGTTATCCATTACTAGGCACAGAAATATTTCATCACATTTTGTGTAAAACGTAACATAAAATGTGTTGTCTGCAACTGAACCCACTGATGTGTCTAGTTAGAGACAGGTGTTGTTTTTTAACACATCTGTTTTAAGAGTGTATGTGTTAATAAAGGTTAAGAGAAATAAAATCATAACATTTTAGAGATTGCACCAGATTGAGTTTGTACTTACTCCCTTACATAGTGCATTTTGCCCTAAAGTTACTTTATAGCAGCGGTGTCCAAAGTCTGGCCCCAGGGCCAAATGTGGACCACGGGTAGATTTTAACTGACCCATGGCTTCTGTTTAAGATAGTGTTATCTTAAAATAGAGTATATGGTAGTTTTTCCTTTCATCTGATGGTGGCTGCAGCACTGTAAAACTACAGTGTAAGGAACTGCACTGTGGTAACAAAGGTAGCAAGTTTAAGAGCCCTTTTTTCTCTGACTAGACCTGCAACTTCATTTACTGAATGACATTTAGACAAATCTACTGCCTTAAAAGCCAAATAGCACAGACTTAACACTGAGAACTGGCCATTTTGGCAAGATTGAAATTTGTGTACTTTTTCATTGTGTCATAGCGAATACATGTATCTTAAATATCAAAAGACTAAAATCAACTCGTCATCAATAGATATGAACCAAATAATGGACATTACAATAAATATTCAGGAGTGAAACTAAAGCAACTGCAGCTACCAGAGCCTCAGAGCACCAATGTCTTATCAGAGCAGATTCAGTAGTTCAGTAAATATTAACCCTTTAAGGCCAAACAAAAACTTGGCAATTCATGCTGTTTACTCTGCTCTTCTCATTTAATAAAGTGATTTCTGAATGCAGTTGCTGCATTTATTTGATACGTAAAGAACATTATCTAACGAAACTAAAAACTGTATAGATTTTTTGATATTTTTTGAAAACTTAATATTTTAAATCATTTGTGAATGTCAGCTCTCAGGTACTTTGACATGGTATGATCTGGCCCTCTTTAAAAAAAAGTTTGGCCACCCCTGCTTTATAGTGCAAAGCCCCTCTGAATCATGGATCTAATCAGCCAGAAGTGAAGCAAAGACACAAAGCTGTGATATGTGTGAAGGACAGGTTAGGACATAAATCAGTATATTCTGATGGGTTTTCATCAAGATGCTTCTAGAAAAACAATTTATGCTCCAGGAATAGTTATTCGTCCTGGTTTAGCCTATGGATTCATTGCAGTGCAGTGTTTGTCTTAGCCTACATCAATAAGCTGAAAAATAAACCGTAAGTTGCTAGCAAATTCACGTAATGACTTGAAATAGGAAGCTAACAAAAGTGACTTTTTTATCACTGTGTACTAGTATCAGACAGACGTAAAGTGTTGATCAATATTTCAAACCAGTATTTGATGACAGATTTACTGTACTGTGAAAGAGCAGAATGCTTGCATCAGTGCAGCTTTTCATTGTTTTTGCTGGTTTCTGGCAGGCTGGTGAAGCTCCAGAAAGAACCACACTGGAATGGAGGTGAGATTTTGCTTGATTGAGCACATGTTGGTGAGGGTTAATGAGGCAGCCAATCATCTGACAGAATTAGCACTAAAATGAGGAACGGTGGTGAATTCACATTGGGTAAAAAAGACTAAATCTATAAGGAAAGCAACACTCCAGAAATATCAGCAATTGAAAGTAATGCCTACATATTGTTCAGAAGTCAGTACAGGAGGAGATACTGTACTTAGGTGTACAGAAAAGGGAGGAAAGCCAGGAGTGGGATGTGGGATGTGCTCGCACTATAATGCCAGACACTTTTGAACGCATGCTAACAGAGTGTAGATGAAACAGGGCTGAAGGTGAGGAACTGACTATAGAGTTATGGCATTGGTTCCTCAGGTCATAGGCTACTCTGCAATGACCTGAACACTCCTTATTTCAAATAAAACTGAGCAAAAAAGCTAAAAAGACATCTCATGTGTTAGTTGAAATTATTAAATAACTGAGTAACATAGATCACATCCCTGTATGATGTCTGTACTGGTCATAGTTTTTATTATTATTGATGTTAAATTCATTATATATTTTTTATAATTTTTAAAATATTACAATTATTTACCTTTTTATTTTATTTATCTAAATTTTAATTTCATTTTACTCTGATATTTATGTGTGGATTTATGTATTGTCCTTTCATTTGAACAGGTTCAGTATAAATCTGCCTTACAGTATAAATAGCATTCATGCATTACCACTCCAGTGCAGTAGGTGGAGTTAGCGGTCCTCTCACAAATTTGCAAGTCGCTAAATAAAGAAGAAGCCGTGCGAGATGGCTGCCTCCGGGTACTGAGGAGTAAACGATTTGCATCGCTAGTTATTTTCTGCCAGTGTGAGAGAATCGGCCACAGAGAGGACTACTGCAGAGAAAAAAATGCTTTTGAAAAACACCCTGAAATCAGCAGCAGCGGTTTTACGAACATGGACTGCTTTTTCGGGCTCGCCGTACGGGAGTGTCACAGCAGGACGGCCGCACACTCACCTCCTCACCCGGAGTCACTCAGTCAGGAGTAGGAACAGCCTCTCAGTTACATGTTCAGATCAGCCACACTGACATTAGACCACTTAACTTCTCTAACACAGCACTCAGTTTTGTGGCAAATAGTTAGCAGCGGTGCTTTCTAGTCGTACCAGTGCTGACCTAGGAGTGTTTTTCTGTTTTGCCTTGCTGTCTTATGCGTTTAGTCAGAGCTGGCTTGCATGTTAGCTTACCGCTGTGGTCAACCAAATTTAGTGCGTATATTTAGCCACACTGGTCCAGTGTGTCAGTGTTTAGGAGGAAAGGGCAGTAAAGTGGGAACATCGCCACCTGATGTTTGCGTTCACAGTAGGTTGAAGGCGATGCACATTAAGGCTTGGACAACATAACGTGCACGGTCACCACCATGTTGAGCTATATTTGATATTATGTTATTGTTCAAAATGATTAATTGACAGTAAAAGAGGGAAATACAGTTTTTACAAGATTTCCTCAAAACGGACTACAAAAGTGTCGCGTGGATGATGTCACTGATGCGCATCCGCCTGCATTGAGCCATGGGTTTTGAAGTTCAATTTGACTTCAATCTTTACAGATATATTGCTCAGTAAAATGTTCTTCTGTTATGTCGTATTTGTAGCTGTCGTACCTGTATGGTCGAAAAATGACTATTACACAAAAGTTCCAGCTTTAAGTGATGAAAAATGTCCCTGTGGAGAAATAAATGGTGATTCAAAACGCAACCAGCAGATGGTGTAGGTCTGCACTTCCTCTCCCCATAGCTTTGGGTGCACATTATCACCCTTTGTCTGTAAGAACAGTGGTTCTCAAACCGGTCCATATTTTCTACACATTTTGCTACACATTGTGAGATGGTTTGGAACGATAATGTGGACTGTCTGAGGGTCCCTGGGTTTGAAACCGCTGCGTTAAAATACACTATGATTAATTTCTGACATGATTGTGGCTAAAGAGAAAAAAAAATGCACAGTGGCTTACAAAAATGTTTTCATTGTGTGGGTTTGCTGCATATCAATTTGCTGCATAAAACCAACCACTTACGAGAAGCCATAGCTGAGTTCATATCTGTTTTAGGTGATATTGGTGATTCATTACAGTTTTGCTTTCGCTTGTGTTTCTGTATCCTGATCTGGAGCATACACATCCAGCATACACAGATCATTCTCAGGAAGTTTGGTTCAATTGCTAATCAGGTGTGTCAGAGCAGGGAAAACACTAAACTGTGCAGGGAAGAGGAACTCTGACTGCCCTGAACAATGTAGATTAGTATTCACTTATGTAGTCGTGTAAAGCAGTGAACATATAAGATTTGTAGCTCAGAGAGATATTCCTCAGTGAAGATTGGTTAGAAGTTTGGTAGGTCAGAAGTTTAGTTGCCAGACGGAGGGAGTGTGTGAACACTTAAAGCGGGGGTGTGGAAAGGATGTGGGCTACCAAGTCATTTCCACCAACCCCCCTTTTGATGATCTGTTTTTCCTCAGTATCATTTCTCAGATGGTTGTGTCAGCTTTGGTTTTACTAAAGATAATTTCAGATTTTCAGCTTACTTTGCTTTAGTGTTGGCCTACTTTACTTGACATTTCATTGCACATCAGTCAATGTCTTTTTTTAAACACAGCCCTCATGTGAAAAAATTTAATTACATCACCAGATTTTGTTCACTTGTAAAGTCTGATGCATGGTATTCAAGCTATTTGGTGGTTTATTTTAGGTCATGAAAACTTCACAAGCCAATCAGTGAGACAGTATGCCCAAGCAGTACGAAAAAAGCAAGGTAAGCAAAAGGGCATGAGCTTGACTGGGTTTATGATATACCATATCACATATTGTTAGTGAATATATATTTTTTAATGAAGGGGGGCCTTTTCTTACTGTTTTTTATTCTTCTCAAAATAGAGTTTCGGAGTCAACTACAAGACTTGTCACCATCGATGCTGAAACCTGAATATGCTTCTGTTCCCCTTGCTCACACGTACGTCTATGTAATTCTCCAGATAAGGGTGGGCAATATGATGATATTTTAGCATTACTGTGATAAACTATGTCACAATACACTTTTCTTAGCATATTGTTGATACCGTCTGTATTAAAGGAGAACAGACTAACTACATTACAAAGTGAGCATAATTAGGCCTGTTTATTTGCAGTGCACTTAAAAAAAAAAAATCATTGTAGTTGTGAGTTTATTACTACTATTATTATAGTAGGTTTATATGTGGCAATACAGGTTCTATTTTGTCTCTTCCAATTTGTTAAATCTTGGAAAAACGAAATACCATGATGCATAGTGTGTATTGTCAAAATGTCTAGAAGTGTTGAGATTTTTTGCTGTATCGCTCAACTCTATCTCCAGATTAGTTTTGTATTTAGAATTCATTTTGCTGTGCACCCTACAGTTGTGAAGTATAAGATAAACATCAGTACACCCCAATGATTAGGCTAGGGCTGAACAGGCACATCCTTAAATTTAGTGTTAAAAAAGGGAAACACAATGTGCTGAAGCATTGTGTTAAAACAAGGAAACCCTGTTTTGTGGCTGGCCTAGACTGCAGTTAGACACAATATGAAGTAGGTAAAATATGTATTTTGTCCCAGTTATTTATCTCTGAAGCTTATGTTGCCATGTGATGTAAAAAATATCAGCAACTTTCAGTTCAGTAGGATGATGAGGCATTAAAAATTATCAGCAGCTTTCAGTTCAGTAGGATGATGAGGCATTAAAAATTATCAGCAGCTTTCAGTTCAGTAGGAAGGTGAGGCAGTTATGGTAGGACTACTGAAAAGTTTGATAATGTCAGTCAAGCTCAGCCAGAGCACTTAAACTAGTGAGGGTTTCCTCTAGTGGCTTAAAAGAAGAAATCAGATGTTTTGGAGTGTCCAAATTAGATTCCTTACATTAATCCCATTCATTATATGTGGCTAGACCTCCAGAACTGTTGACCATTGTTGTTTGCCACTAGCAGACTTTATACAACATTGTAAGGAGGAATGGGCAAATATTGCTCTTTCTCAGTATGCTTAAGTTAATAGATATTTCTGCAAAACAGCTGCCTGTAATGGCTCCTGAGATGGTTGAAGAAGGCTTGGATATGGCAGAATGAATGAATGAATTGTAAAGTTTTCAGTGTCAATTCCTGTGGGAATCTGAAGGAACACAATTAAACAAAACTTATATGCATCATCTTAGGCTATAAGTCCACCACATTTGAAAAGGGGATATGAGTTCAATGTGTTTTGCAAATCTGAAATGTTTCACTTCAATGTCTAAATGAAATCCTATTGTGTCACATGTTTGCAGGGTTGACGATGTGGTCAAGAAGCTTCTCTCACTGGAACTCGCAAGCCATGTATGACTCTTTCATTTGAACAGCATGTTCTTTTGTCTTTCTCAGAATGCATTTACATCTGTTACTCTGTTAAATGAAGGATAGCTCTGGGCTGACTGTGGCTTAGACTATGTGCTCCTTTAGCATTGGTTTTTGAGCAACTGGTTCTAATCGCAAAGTCCTTTGAATAAAAAAGTCTTCACATTTATTGTCGCATATAATTGAACAATACCAATATCTATGCCCAGAGTGAAAAACTCCACCTGAAGAGGAAACAGCTGGTTGCAAAGGTCCAGAGGGATGAAAATGACCACAGCTCACCAGAGGTTAAGAGTAGGTTCCTGTTTTTTGCCCTTTGAGATAAGAATTGCGTTAACCACAATCACAGAATGTGACTCTTTCTTGCTTTTGTTTAATGGATCTTTTCTAACTTGCTTTATAGTTGCCATTTTGACAGCACAAATTCGCAACTTTCAGGAGCACTTGCATAAGCACCCCAAGGTATGCGTCAGAGGATAAGCGTGATCTTTCTTGTGTATTTGTGTGTTTTGCAGTCATTAAAGGTGTTATAGCAGTCTTCACAGTCCATCCCCCTCTCACCCTCAAAGAGGCACAGGATTTCCTGTGTGCTCTGATCAGAGAGTAAATATATTTCACCACATAGATATGAAGGTATATGCCAAGTCATATTAAGACAAATATATATATAAAGAAAAAATGAATTCATACAGTAGATTATATAAAGAAGGCTGAACATGAATGGTAGATGATTCTGCAACCATATTGTTAATAATACTACATACTACATTAAATGCTACATTAATATGAATAATTATCATGCCTTGGCTCACTTGTATAATTTTGCATATTGCCTTAGGACAAAGCTAACAAAAGGTGGATGCTGATGAGCATTGACCAAAGGAATAAAATGCTAAAAGTCCTGAGAAGAACCCACTATGATGCATTTGAGAAGGTCTGTCAAGAACTTGGCATCTCATATACGTTCCCTCCGGAGTACTACAGACGGGCTACCCGACGCTGGTTGGCTAAGAAGGCCCTATGCATCAAGGTAGCACATAAAACTGGCCTTTTTTCCTTTAAGTCATGAGTGGGGGCTTTTAAGAGTTACAAATGCTGTGAAGGTTTGATATATTTATACTTCAATTCCAAAAAAGTTTGGACAGTATTTGGATTGTAAATAAAGAATAGAAAGTAGTGATTTGTAAATTCAGTTTGATCTTTTTTAAATTAAAACAGTATAACGACCAGATATGGAAGGTTTTTGCATTATCAGCTTTGTTGTTTTTTGTAAATATAAGTTCATTCTGAAATTCATGCCTGCAACATATGTCAAAAAAGTTGTTAAAAGGGCAGTTTAAGACTGTGAATTATGAAGGTTCAAAAGATGATGAAATCATGCAAGGAGCATCTAGCAAAAGCATAGTCCTTCATAATCTCATTAAAAGATGAGGGAATCCAGAGTAGTCTTTGTGTGTAAAGGGCAAGGCTAAAAACCACAGCTGAATGCTCATAACCTTTGACCCTCCAGACAACAGTGCCCTAAAAACCGGCATGCTTCTGTGTTTGATATCACCACATGGACTCAGTGGGTTGTCAGTAAACACTGTTGATCACTGCATTCACAAATGCTAGTTAAGACTGTAGTGTGCATACTGGGAGCCATACATCAACAACACCTAGAAGTGCCACTGACTGCTCTGTTAATCTGAAATGGACTGCTGCACGGTGGAAATGTGTACTGTGGTCTGACAAGTCTACCTTAGTTTATGGAAAAGAGGAAAGGACCATCCACATTGTTACCAGCGTAAAGTTTAAAAGCCATCATCTGTCATGCTATGGGGGTGTACACGTGCCTTTGGCATGGGTAACTTTTTACCCAAGCACATTTGTGAAGGCACCATTAATCCTGAAAGATATAAACACTTTTTGGAGCAACATATGCTGCCTTTCAGACAATGTATTCTTCATGGGTGTCCATGCTTGTTTCAGTGTTTCAACAGCAAGCCGCATGCTGCATTTGTTACAACAGCGTAGTGGTTGCGGTCTAGTGTGGGTGCTGGACTGGCCTGCTTGCAGTGTAGCCCTGAAGATGTGTAGTGCCTGAGTGCAAAATATGACAACGAAGCTCCCAATGGTTGCAAAAAAATTCTGCTTTTAAAACTGGATCAGTTTGTGTCTTCAGTCCCAAATGATTTAAGGAAAGATGATGTAGCACAGTGGTAAACATACTCCTGTCCCAACTTTTTTCGGAATGTGTTGCATGCATCAAAGTTGCAATGAGTGTTTTCCAAAAATTTCATAAGTTTTGAAAGTTCATGAGGTAAAACATCAAAGATGTTTTTGACTGTTTTCAGTTTAGTACAAGTCAAGGAGATTTTACGAATCACCACTTTCTGATTTTATTAGCATTTCATTGACTGGCCCAGCATTTTTGGAAGGCTCATAGTTAGCACTTAGCAAAAATATTTATAGGACACTCTAGTGAGCTATTACTCGTCACGTTTGCCATTTATGTAATTCATGTTTTTTTTTCAATTATTCATACTTCTCTACTTTTTGTATTTCATCAGACATTGAAAACAATAACTCACAGCAGCGTACTTTAGTGCTTTATATTAGTTGTGTATGTTGGTATTTTAGTTGTCTTCATCAATGCCTTTGTGTCTGTCTATCTTAGGTCTTCAAAGAGGTCCAGAAGCAGAAAGCAGAGCAGAGAAATAAAATCAAACAGTCGCTGTCTCAGGAGAAGACTGAGACCTCAAGCACTAGCCCTCCAGATGACCAAGGGACTGCAGTATAATAACACATACAGGCTAATCATATAAAGTAACTGCAGCTAAATACATAGAGGTAGAATTGGTTACCTTTATCACTCTACAAAACCTGATGTTTGTTCATTATTTGAAGATCCTGTGTCAAAACATTTTCATCTATCCATCAAAATGAGTCCATGTTGTCCATCTGTCAACATTACTAAATAAATGGTTTGTGCTCTGTTCAACCTTTTCTCAAAGAGAACTTTATTACATCACAGACTTTTTTCTTTTTCTAATGCAATCGCTTTTACACATTGAACTGACAGCGAATGAAGATTTGAGGCAAAGATAAGAGGCAAATGTAGCCTGATGCATTTTGTGGTTGTGGTTAGAAGATATAGCTTGTCTGTGCTCAGTTCCGTCAAGTCTGTTTTATTACTTGTGCGTGATGGTCATACAAATATGAGGCCAAAGTGCTAAAACATTAACTAAAGTCAGTGTACTTAGTATTTTAATTATTCACACAGTCACATGTCCTACTGCATGGAGCAATTCTGGCCTTATTGCATTGAGCAATACTTGTGATCAAATGTGTCTTGGGGTTGTGGGGTGCGTCGGAAACATTGCAGGCGTGTTGCACTGTGCGGTAGTGTGTCACAACTTCCTTTTGTGCGAAGCATCCAGATCAAGAGGATCAGAAGAGCAGACAAGGTAAGCGATTTCAGTTGGCTTACATTTGATGTCATTTCTTTATTTAAAACATTGTCGTGTATCATCTTTAGTTCACATTTAACTTTGGTCAGAGCATCCTTCTCAATCGGCAGTTGCCATATTTTGTAGGAGAAGGTTGCAAGTCAGCTTAATCAGAAATTCATTGTGTTCATTGTTTCATGTAAACCAGACCCAAACCAGTGAGAATGACGCATTCACATGGTTCTAGAAAATGACATATTGTGTATTTATTATGTTTATGAAGATGGTGGATTATTATTATTATTATTGTTATTATTATTATTGTATCCACATATTATATTTGAAGGATCTTGTATGCCATTTTTTTAGGTGTGTAGTTGATAATGTACTTTTTTTGGGTCTTTGAACTCTTGAGCTCACTGCAGTAGTTTAACACCTTGTTACACTGTAGTTTAAAAACTGCGTGCGACATGTAAAACAGAAAACTCAGCTGCTCTTTTACCTTTGAGAAATATGTAATTTTAGGCAAAAAAAATAATATGACCTATTAAAGTCTATTTAAGCATCTCAAATGTGAGAAGATATAAAATAGTTATGTCTTTTTACCTGCTTTTCAATTACATTCTAGTTATTTCTACTGTAATTGAAGGATTTGTGAAATCTTCTTCCATCACATGATAAACTGTGGAAATGATGGTTATTCTATCTTTTATTTTATTTTTTTGATATTTGAATATTTTAGGCCCTTGTAGACAACCCCAAGTTGATTGTCATGTCAAACCCAGTGACTCATCAGCCAGCAGCAGGCTCATATGGAACCAACGTGCAGACGGGAGAGTGGAGCACAGGCCTCTGCTCCTGCTGCAGTGATCTGCTCGTCTGTGAGTAATGAAAAGACTCCCTAAACCAGTAAAACAGTCTACGTGCCCAAATCTTCAGCCTATCATTTTCCTCACTGAGTAGATATTAAAAGAGAATTTCAACATTTATCTGCATAATTCAATCGCTGAGATGTGAACAGTTATTCAGAGTGCTTTGATGTAAAATGGTCCATTATAGAAAAGCTTACTGACTTGAATTTCTTTACAATGTTATATATCGGAAGCAGGGGTCGCAATGTAGCCATTTTATTGATTGTTTAAAATGACCAGTGAATTTACGTGAGTGTTTATGTGTAATGTTTACAATGGTAAAATAGTGCTACATCTTGGGGAAAAACAAAGTTTACTTTGCGTACTACTTTGCCTTACAATGCCCTGTATGTGTCACTCCACTATTCATATATTTTTTAAAAAAATTAAAACTTTTAAACCAAAGGTTCTCTGGCATCAGGCAGAGTATTGGTAGCTTTAAGGGGCATTAAAGACTTTGGACATCTGGTTCCTATCACCATCACTATGAACAATTCTGACTTTATAAGTTTCTTTACAATGGAGCACCACTCTGAATGACTTTGTTTAGATGTTAACAATAAAATTATGCAGAGCTTTAGATAAAATTCTCCTTTGTGTTGCAAACTTTTTTTTAGCCTATGTTTTGATTTGGTAGTTAAAATGAGAGTTAAAGATCAGCTCGTCCTTGTTTAAGCTGTCTAACATGCATTGCCAAAAGGCAAATTCACAACATCTCCTAACATTATTATGACTGTCTATTCATGGCAGTGTCATCGGTGAGCTTATACACACTCTATTTGCACCTTCTGTACCATACAGGTGGTCTTGGTTTTCTCTGTCCAATTGCGCTGGGATGCTACACAGCTAGCAAGTACGGAGAAAATGCATGTCTGGCGTGTGTTCCTGGAGGCATGGCTGCTATGAGGACGCACATGAGACTGACCTATGGCATTCAAGTGAGTTACCCTATAACATGACATGATGTTCTATCTGGAGATTATGAAGGATCATAAATGAGTAATAAATTAAATTTGTTTTTAACTTGTCACTATTGTGGTACCAGCTTATTCTCAAGTTGGTAGGTTTGACTGAATCATTCATCTTTCTTACAGGGTACAATATGCAACGATGCCCTGATGACCTGTTGCTGTGGAATATTTGAGACTTGTCGAATGGCCAGAGAAATTCGTATTAGGAATGGAGAGACATAATCATGTGTTACTACTGTAACCTTACTTTGTAGCAAAGTATCACAGTCACTTTCTCATTTTTATAAACAGTCAACTTGTGTGCATTTATAAGATTAAATAAAAATGCAGAGAATAAAATTGCTGAAATTAATAATTAACTTTATATAAAACACAAGCAGTAAAACATAATAAATAATAATTACACATTGAAATGTTTGAAGAGTTTCATTCCAAAATGTATATTCATTTGTAACAATTTTGGACATAAAGAGGTTTGAAAAGAACAACAGCTCACATATAATGCACTTTATCAGAAAACATTTTTTCTCTAATAGAGGTGTTTATTTGCGCAAAGCTCTCTCCCAACAATGTATATCATGGGGGGAAAAAAGAAAATTAGGTTGGGAAATTGAGATTTAAAACAGGTTTAAACTAGTCGAAGTAAGTTAGACTGTTTGGAAAGATCTTCCTGCAATCGCAGTCTTAAGTGAAATGGTGACTAACTCTCTTCCTGAAAGCTTACACTATTGCATTAGATTTCAGCTGAACTTGAATTGAACATGAAAATAGTGCACCAGGAAGGTGGTGACCGCTGTCATCAAGGATGAGTTATTACATAAATGTTTTATTTATAATTCATTAATAACATTGGACTATGATGCTTGTACAATAGGCCTAGATTACATTTGTGTAATTTTCATTATCTTGAGTTAGGCCAGGCATAAATTTCAAGTATGAGAAGAGAAGATCAGAATCTTATTTCAAAGTTAACCGTGCCAATGACAATGATCTATACTTTGTTTTTCTTGACTCCACTGAGCAAATTCTGGATCACCTTCACATGAAGTAAATTATTTATTTTACCCATTTTGGCATTTGTACCCTATGTATTAATACATCTTATACAGCAAAGTAATGACCTAATTACAGTGTTTTGCCAGATTCTAGTAGACCAGTCGATTTCATGGAAGGTTCCTGAGGCCATTTTGGTGTAATCTTAAAGCATATTGCTTTGTAAACTGCAGGGATTTGACACTTGGAGTGGACTGAATCACCAGTCTCAGCAGCCAGACAGAAATCATTTCATGTTGTACAAACCCACTTCCTAAAAAAGCTGGAACTCTCCGGTTACACAGCCACGCTGCTGTAATACATGCAGAATGTTTCTTGGTGTTGCCATGTCATGGACTTCCCTGAATTAGAGGGCATCTAAAAGGCAGCATATGTTGCTCCAAAATGTGTATATATCTTTCAGCATTAGTGGTGCTTGAACTGCAGGTTATACATTAATACACTTCCATACTACAACAGACCTTGCACTTTGAACTTTACACTGGTAACAATCTGGGTGGTACTTCTTTGGCAAAAAGAAAATAATGTCCATTAATTCAACAAAATTTCAAATGTTTTAAAAAGGCTGACTCGCTAGACGACAACACGTTTCCACTTTGCATCAGTCCATTTCAGACGAGCTCAAGCCCAGAGAAATTGGTGGTGTTTCAGGATATTGTTGGCTTCCACTGTGCATGGTACAGTCATAGCTTGCACTTGTGGATGCACTGACAAACAGTGTTTATTGTCAGCAGTTTGTCAAAGTATTCCTGAGCCCATATGGTGATATCCATCACAGAAGCATGCTGGTTGTTAATGCAGTGCTGTCTGTGGGATTGAAAGTCATGGGCATTCAGTTGTGGTTTCTGGCCATGCTTTTTACACACAAAGATTTCTATGGGCTCCCTTAATGTTTTGAAAATATACATAGTAGAGAGTGAAATACCTAAAACCCTTTCAAATTCTTATTGAGAAATGTTTTTAAACTGTTGCTACTTGCTGGTAATTTTTTGTGATGTGGCAAGCCTTGACATATCCTTACTCATAAAGGACTCTGCATTCCTGAATGTTCCTTTTAGACCCAAGTGTGATTACATCACCTCTTAAAATGTATTCTAAACCTGCTGTCCTATTTAAATACTGGTTTGAGTGGATTTACAAATCACTGGTTTCAATTTTTGCATTTTATCTACTGTACCAACTTTTTTGGAATTGGGTTTGGATCATTTCATTCTGTATCTTGCATTTTGAGCAGCAAAACTGTCAGGATTTTAAGTTTTACACATATCCAGACTAAGATACATTTCATAATGAAACTGATAGCCTACTCGTATATATCACCACAGTCCAGTCCACAATCCACAATCACGAAAGCAGCTATAAAACAAAATGTAAGGATGGCATCGATACTGAAGTATTGAGACCTTAGATCTTGAGAAGTGATCCTCAAATGGAGAGGCTGATGTTTTCTACATATCTATAGCATCATGTGCTGCCACCACAATGTGACAGTCACCAGCCAAAAAATGTTAAAAACACAAGAATGCTGGTCACCAGCAAGATCATGCTGGTCTGTGCTGTTTGTTTCCTTCTTCATCAGGAACAGTTCATTTCATAACATCGCTTGATCTTTAGCCAGATACATAATCTTTGCTTTAGCTTCTATCTCTGCCCGAGCTCCTTCTGCGCATGAGCGCAGCGTTCCTCAGTATGGCTCGTTCTGATTGGTCGTTGTTCGTCGTGACCTGGCAACCGAGTGAGAGCTTACCGACGCTTGTCTGTTCTCCCTCGGCTTATTCTATTAGCGATAAATCCTCAAACTGCGGAGTCAAACTGCAATATCTGGAAGTGCTTGTTGCTTTCATTAAACTACAGGGAAGATGTCGACGAGAACACTACCTCTTCTGTTCATCAATCTCGGCGGAGAAATGCTCTACATCCTGGATCAGCGCCTGCGAGCCCAGAATATCCCGAGCGATAAAGCGAAGAAAGGTGAGCTAAGTAACATCATAACACCATAACACGAGCGGCCAGACACGGCCAGCTATGTGTAACCTTAACTTAGTTATCAATGCGTAACATATAGCTAGACAAATTGAGTACAACATACATTTCTTGTTGACTTGGCGGGTGTTCTATGAGTAGTTTTAAAGCGTTGTTTCTTTCCATTTATTTTGTTTATATATAGACGTCCAACGGTAACTTACGCAGCAGCAGCTAACGATAACCTGTAGTTAACGTTAAAGGGGAACTCCACCGATTTTTGCAGACAATTCTGCATAATTAAATGGTTTAGCTGGGAACAAAGTCAGTTAGAGTGATTTGGTGTGAAAGGCTCCCTTCTAGAGAAACTGGCCAAGTCAGAATTGTTCACGGTGATGGTGATATGAACCACACGTCCACCTCTAAAATCTCCCTCACAGAAAGTTATTAGCTACATGAAATGGTTATGAATACGCTGCCTGATGTCCGGGACATTGCTTATGATATAATAAAATGCAATGCAATATACTAAAATGTATTTTAATCCAGCTATTTAAATCCGTTCATGGCGGAGGAGTACATGCAGGGCCTTGTAAGGCAAAGTAGTCCCCAAAGAATTATTATTATTTTTAGATTTATTACTATTTTACTATTGACACCATTACATATAAAAGCTCAGAAGACACGGGTAGGTTCAGAGGTGGTTTTGGATAGTAAACAAAATGGCTACATTTGCGTTGTAGACATTGTGACCCTTGGTTCCTATCACCACCACTGTAAAGAAATCAGAGCCTCTAAGTTAAACCATTTCACGCCATCCGCTCTGAATGACTCTGTTCATCTCAAGAAATGAATTGGTGAAAAATTTTGAAAAATTGGAATTCCTCTTTCATGTGCTGTAATTTTTAAACATGATTTTTCTACATAAACAAGGCTGCAATTAAATGACAAACTCTAGAAATATGAACTCACCTGTTTGAAGACACAAACGTGAAATTGCAGTGACAGATATGAAGTAGGTTGGAAGCCAGCTGGCCCCCTTTTTCACCTTTATCATAGCTGTTAGTTTGTCTGTCTTCAATATGTCCTTTTGCAATCTTTGTAGCCACTGTAGCAGGATGGATAGAGGAGGACAGAAAAAGAGGTATTGTTACTCTGCCTGCTTTGCTATTGCCTATAGTGCAAGGTAGCATGCGTGCGTCTGCCAGAGGCAAAGCTGAGCGAGCAGTCACTTGCTGGGTAGATTCGGGGTTCTTTTGTTGTGGCAAAATACTATTTTGTGTCATGATTGAAAACATTTATGAGATCAGATGAGCAATAGCCTTTTTTTTACTGACCTAGTGAATTAATTCAGAGAGGCAAAATCTCTCTCTGTTTGATACTATGTACTTGTGCAACCTGCCTTTGCTACATTTAGAGCACTACTGTATAATTATCTCTGAGACAGTGCAGCTTAAAATGTACTTTTTTGGCCATGTAGTTTCTAGATTGCATTTTGCTTGCTTGGGTGCCAGTGTTATACCCAGAAACTGGTTATAGATTGTGTTTCTGTGTTCTGTGTTGGGACAGTCATGAATGACATCATTACCACTATGTTCAACAAGAAATTCCTGGAGGAGCTGTTCAAGCCTCAAGAACTGTACTCCAAGAAGGCTTTGCGGACGGTCTTTGATCGACTTGCACATGCCTCAATTATGAGGCTTAATCAAGCGAGTATGGACAAGGTAATAAAAGTGCAACATTTTCATCTTCCATAACAGCAACTTTTTCTTTCAGTGAATTTCAGCAGTTTGCTCAGAGCAGACGAATTCAGAGTGTGTTCCTGCCCCAATTGAAAGACTTTTCTTGGCTATTTGAGAGAAATATGGCTACATTATTAGACATCTTCATCATAAATTATTGACTACTACTCACATTGGTATTTGGCTGCCCTTTGAAGTCGCTGCTTCATTACTGTTATTTCTTGTTCTTAGAATCTGTTGATTCTTTTCATCATATTAAGACTGTATCTGTACAGACTAGAGATGGCATGACACCACTTCCTCTTTTCTGATACTGATATTAAAACCTTGAGTATTGGCCAGTACCAATCAAAAAACTGTTATGTGTAAAATATGCTATTTTCCATTTTAGTACTTCGCTTAAGATGAACATTAAATGTTGGCTATAATGCTCAAACACTCTGCTACTCCACAGGAAGAAATACACAGCTAACAACTTAACTTCACACAATTTCAGCTTGTGCTCTTTCAGGCTAGAATTATATGCGATCCAACGTTTTCTGCTGATATCGGCCCCATACTGATATCCATCGATACTGATCTGCCATGTCTAGTACAGACAGTGTTGCAAAGCTTGCTACACTACATACACTGTCTAGCTTTTGGCCTTTTAGATGACTGCAGTTGGCTTAGCTTATCATTCAGTACTCAATTAACAAAACAAATCATTTACGCTTAAAGAACTCAATAGGGCTTCATTTCTTAGCTAACTGTCAGTCTGACATTTAAAATCTCACATTTGTATGATGCGTATTGTCACACATTGCATTGTGGTGTAATGTGTCACAGTGTGTTTTCTTAAGTGTAAAGACCACAGCTGAGCTTCAGTGTAATTCTCATTGCTAATTCAGAGCTAGTTTCCTACATATAAGTTATTTACATTGTAATCTGTCTGTATATTTATTATATATTTGTAACATTTTCATGAACTTGTCAAATTACAGATTGTGGAGAATGTACATCAGTAGCTAGAAGGGCATATGCCAGTTCCTGCGGCAGTAACATTTCTGTCAGTGGTGTTACTTAGCTGGGAGAGAGAAATTAATGCAGATGAAGGGCAGGAAGTGAGTCTGAACTATGTGAACATCTATGCAAGGTGTAACGCAGTAGTGAGACAGTGGTGATGTTCAGAAAAGCGCAAAGGGAAACAAAATCTCAGAGTTGTCATCATTGTCTTATGCTTAAAATGGGGTATTGTGTTATGAAAGTAAGTACTTTTACACTTCTGTACACTTCCCCAATTTTAAAGCAGAGCCACTTACTGTGGCCTGCACATTGGCCGGTGTGTACAATGGAATAACCACAACTGGGTTTATGTTCCTAATTATGTTCTGGTTCATTTTCTAGCGACACAGAGTTGAATGATGGGCCTAAATGCTGGCTAAATTCCTCTAAACTGTCTTGATCATAAGAAACCACACAGTATTGTTGTGCATCTGTTTCTTTGCCAATGATGGGAGCTACTGTAAGCCAGGAAACACCCACTGAGGTGGACATCTGCTAGCCATGTGATCAGTCATTGAGGCACTTCTGCAATTTAAAATAAGAATGAACTAGAATGAACAGATAGCTAAATAACTAGAGCTAAAGAAAGAAAAGAAAATATACAACAGTACAATTCTGATTTTCTTTGTAATATTTAATTAACTGTCTCTTCTGTTCCTCTCTACAAAAGGAAATACAGTATATATGTGAAAGTATACAGATACCCTTTTTAATGACTGAATTCTGCTACTTTAAGTGCACACACAGCTTGTATCTTCATAAAGAATGGGATGCTTTTGAAGCCTAAGCTCACCATGCCGTATACATGGGCTAGAGGAGTATAAAGCCACCCAGCATGAGGTGGGATAAGTATGATGTTTATGACCAAGAATGTATCATCCAACATCAGTACTTGACATCACTAATGCTCTTCTGGCTGAATACAGTCAAATCCTCACAGCAATGTTCCAACATCTAGTGTAAAGCTTTCTCAGAAGAGTAGAGACTGCAGTAAAAGGGGGGACAAATTCACTACTAATACTGCTGATTTCAGAAGAAACATTAGATGAGCAGGTATCTACAAACGTTTGAACACATTGTGTAATTATGTACATTGCCATCTGCGGTGTTCTCTGTTTGATCAATAGTGTTACATGCTTCTTCAATGTTTTCCTTCAAAAAAGCAATAGATTATAGTGATTTATTCCTAAACACATCTTACCATTTATGTACAACTTTTGGTGGGGAACAGTTGGTGAAATTAACTCTAATGCAAGGCCAAGGGAAATTTGCAGTTTATATGACTCACTTCGCTTGGCATAAATGTTTGAAAATAAATTTTTTGTGGCTATATGCACGTTTGGCTGAGCCAGCTACTATCATTTAATTTTCTTACAGCAAAATTACATCACTGTGCTACTATTACTGCCTATGCATTGTGGGCGTAGTTATAATGAATTGAAAAAAGAATGTGTTTTTATTATGCATTTTGATGGCTGTACAAACCTACTATTCATTGTATTACATTAGTGCAATCTAATCTAAAACAAACAGTACTGATAATTTGCACTTTGCAATTATTTTTTCATCTTGTATCAGACAATTCTTGAGATGAAAAAGGTTATTTTTTTCCCTGCCGGCAGCCCTGTTTCCTAAACTCATTACAGTCAGCAACACCACACCTGATACCTGCTGTCAGACTGTTGGTAATACAAGGCATGTCCACTCTAGTACTGGAGAACAGGACAGGTGCAGATTGCTAATGAATAGCTTGAAGGTTCTTACTTTAAAGAACAAATATAATTAACTAAAATAATTTCTGAGACTTTATACTAATCATGTATTTTAAATTTAATGAACTTTATAGTTGGAAATTTGTCTTGAATTAATATTCAGCTCTGTGAACTTAATGGAACCCCTCTGTTTTAGGATAATTAATGTGTTACAGACTAACAAGCAATCAGAATAAATAGTGTTCAACTATATTGAGCAAGAATAACTGACAAACAACATCATTAGAGCATGATTTGTCATAGCGACAGTCATTACTTTTGCGTCTACACTTGGCCCATTGAGAAATTGCTTCTCTTTTTCTTGACTGTTCTGATTGGTGCAGGGGGCAAGAACAGAACTTTGTTTTGTAGAAGAGGAACATCACTGCTTGCGTGCATTTGATTTATAGAAGGCTTGAAATATTCACTTTGGGGGAAAAAGGAATCAGTTCAAACTGAATAAGTATCTCGTCAGTATAATAAATCTTGTTGGTCTCAGAGTGAACTACTCATGTCAGCATTAAGCCTTACTGTGATATGCTTAAATATTCTGAACTGACTCATACTTGTTTCTCTCTGGTTTTATGTGATATGGCATACCTGTTTATTGAAAGTACTCAATAATTATTTGCTCAGTGGCTCCCTCTGGTGTATGGTCATATCTGTGAAGCTCTTTTAAAGGTAGCTCTGTTGTTAACGTATTTGCTTTGTGTTTTCCCCTGCCCAGCTTTATGACTTGATGACCATGGCGTTCAAGTATCAGGTTCTTTTATGCCCTCGACCTAAAGATATTCTCCTTGTGACTTTCAACCATATGGATGCAATCAAGGACTTTGTAAGGGATACCCCCAGTATTCTCAGCCAAGTGGATGAGACATACAGACAACTCATAGAGGTAGAGCAGCTTTCAGTTATCATTGTGTTGCTGTGGTATCAAAACCTTTTTTCAGGTTTTATTTTTTCACATTTTACATATTATTTTTTCACTTTCATGATGAATGGACCAATACAAATGGTCCAAAATTACTTACAAAACAGTGTTTTCACACCAACATACATTAAAGGGCACATATCATGAAAAACTTGAATTTCCCTCACTTTTTTGAAAGAACAAAATTTGAAGTAATATGTAAACATTGTTAGAATTTCAAATTGTACCTCCATTATCCAGTCCATATAACCCATATATGGAAATTACAGCACATTTTGAATTCATTGTTTTTGTGATGTCATAAGTACCAACTCATTTATATATATATATCTACCTATTCAGCCTTCAACAGTTTAGCTCTGCCAATTCACGCTGAGGCTCTCAGGCAGGAGTGTCCAATCGTAGAAGCAAAGGGCTGGTGTGGCTGCAGGCTTTCACTCCAAACAAGCTGAAGTACCCCTGATTCTACCTGTTTAATCAGTTGGTTTTAGTCTTCAAACATTTCATCAGGTGACCTTCTGCTTTGTTGAAGTGAAAACCTGCAGCCACACTGGCCCTCTGCGGATAAGATTGGACACCCCTGCTCTAGGGTGTGTTTTCGCTCTGAGTGCTTTTTGAATGAGGCACAATACAGGACAGCCTTTGGTATATATTGTACAAAATGTACAATGTGGGAAAAATTTTCCTTCTCCTTTAAAGTTTATTTTTGACAATAAAGGTTTTGTTTACAACAGTGAAAACTGAATCTTTACTATTATGGCTCTGCTGAACTGAGTTTTGGGCCACAAAAATGTATCTTTAAATGCCATACGTACCTGAAACATTACACCAGGCCAGACATGGTCAGTGTATATCATGTCCTTTTATATGTTCCTTTCAGATATATACTCCTTTGTCTGGTGGAGAATTTCAACTAATTAGACAAACATTGCTAATCTTCTTTCAAGATATGCACATACGAGTAAGTCCATCTAACATCCCCATTAAACATACATGCAGAATTCAAATGCCTTTTCAATTATGCTCAAATAATGAACGTTATTAGTTATCGGTTCTAACATGTGCAAGCGTTTGTGCTTAAAGGAATGTCTTATAATTACACACAATTTGAACATTACAATTTCTCATAGGTGTCCATATTTCTGAAAGACAAAGTGCAAAACTCAAATGGACGCTTTGTACTCCCTACATCAGGACCTGTTCCATATGGGACACACACTCCAGGACTTATCCGGTATTTTACGGATTCTGTTGTGTATTCAAGTTTTTTTGTAAGTAGGACAGCAGGTAGGCTGCTGCTCAAACAGTCACTGGCGAAATCATGACAAACATGCATTTACTCTGATTGCTCTATTAATCTGAGCTACAGTTACATTGGACAGGAAGATTTTTAGAAATGATTCCGTTAGCCAAGAACTGCTGGACATACTGCCTAGTAATTTGTAAATTTAACCAGGTGCACTTGTAGACTGTCCTGGTTTGTAAAAGGATTGAGTATTACTAACACTGCCAGCAGTCAGACTTAACAGATTTAACCACCTTTCTTTGAAAATAAACATTTTATTTTCTCTTCAGTTGTTCACGATTGAGTGGTGGTAAAATGACATTGCTGAAACAGCCACAAAGATCTAATCTCATGCTAAATTTCAGTCAAACTTAAATTTCAAACCAATAGCAATATGGTAGGTGATTCTGATATGACTGTAACGTGGTAACTGCTGATACCTATATTTTGCTCATGTCACTGTGCCTCCTTCTGTAGCTGTTAAGCATTTAATATTGTTTCTTATCTGTGCCCTGTAGAATGTTTAGCTGTAATGGTGAGGAGATGAAAAGGACACAGTTCCGCGATGGTGGAAACTACACCGCTGCCCTTCGCGAGGGTTCTTTTGAGTTATTTGGTGACAGAGTCATTAAACTGGGCACAAATATGTGAGTGTTACTCTATTTATATGATTGCATGTTCTGACATGTTAACCCATAATAACACTGTAGTTGCATGCCATCCAAAGTTTTTTTTTTTTGCAGGAATAAGGTATCTGTAATTGATCTGTAAATAATAGTTTCTATGCAAGATTGATCCTGCAGTCTTGCAGTGGAGTAAAAGCTCTAAATTTGTCCCAACAGGTATAGCGTGAGCCGGCCAGTGGAGACTCACATGTCTGGAACCTCCAAAAATTCTTCACAGCATACCAAGGTAAGGTAAGAGAGTAAATGTTTTGGATGAAAAATAGGCCTAATGTTTTAAACTGTATATTTATAATGAGACTTCATTGTAAATCATCTAAATATCTGAGTACTTGTCTCACAAGACAGATGTCTGGCAGAAGGTCAGGCACCTTTTGTCACTTAGCATAGCCAAGAACTGACTGCTTTGGCAGGAAGGGGCTGTTTGGCTGATGTGCCTAGAGAACAATCACAGACCTTTCTTTTTAAGGTTTTGATAGGATGGTACAAGAAAAGCAGACCAACGGGGAAAGAGGTGGTGCATCTGCTGACAATGTGCAGCTATACAGCCAATCAGAATGAGGCTGATAAAAACAAAAACCTAACAGTTGTGACAAGTACATTGTATTGGGGGGTTGGGAATTGGGGGGTTCCATGTATGCTAAGGCTGAGACTATTTAAGCTACTTTTGTTTGCTTATTTTTTTAACTCATATGTATGCATTTATTGTACCTTAAACCTGTGTTTATGAAGGTGAACACTATACCAAACCCCTTGGCAAAGGAAGAGCTGAATCTGCTTGCTAAACTGATGGGTGGTTTGGAGGTGCAAAAACCAAGCAATACTGACTCTGGTTTCCGTGTCAACCTCTTTGCTACCGATGAGGAGGAAGAGTAAGTTTTTTTTTTATTTTAATAACTTCTTCAAGTCTTTACACCAGCACAATTTGTGCAACCTGGTAAAAACATGTACTCAAACTGATTCAACACTGTAGGTTTTATCTCACTGAAATAGCAGTGATTCTTTGGTTCACTGGAAAGGTCATTTTCACCCACAGGGAAGCTTTGATTTCGAGACCTGAGGAGCTCTCTTATGAAGTTATTAATATCCAAGCAACCAAGGTAAGGTCAGAGCCTGTCTACCCACACCATATTGTCACATTCGTATATACAGTTCTGTTTCCACTAATTGCATGACTTTAAAAAAAAGCCTAAGAGAACTGAGTAATCCCTGATTACAAATGTTCAGACAGATCCACCTAATAGGTCTTTGACTCCCTCTGAAGGATTTACAGTAGGTCACTTAAGATAACAAGATGACTATTGCATTTTCTCACTACGTCATTGGCCTTCTGCCCTGCCTTTCAGGACAAACAAGCCAATGCAGAGTTGGCAAAGATCATGGGAGAGTTCACAGAAGCTGGAGAGCCTTCCCCAAGCTCCAGTAGCAAAGGTGATGACCTGTTGGCGATGATGGACGGCCTGTGACTTGGAGTAAATATTCATTTGAGTGCTGTTAAGCAGGCTTGGTCTGGCTTGATGTTCTGCAGTGTCTCACTTAGTGAGCTGAGAGACCTACCACGTGACACAACAGCAACAACCAGAAGCTAATGTGTGTTTGTGCCGGTAGAGTCAATCATAGTCAGACACTGTCCATCTTGTTTTGAGCCTCCCACTGTCTTGGATTCTTTCATTCTGAGCAGTTACAGTGCAATCCTGTTCTATAGTTTTATGTCAGATCTAACTGTCTGTACTCAAGCCACTTTACAAAACTTTCCATTGTTCAGCAACAAATGCCATTAAATGTCAGGTTCGACACTGCCTACATGAAACTGGTAAGGGTTGCTCAAGCAGTAATGTAAGAAGGAAATGTAAGAACAAAGTTAAAATGGACACTTTCAACACTAGACATGATACAGCAAGTAACAATTGCTTCATCATATGTAACATTGACCATCACTTGCTGTGGTTAGCCTATTAAAGGAATACGCCAGTGTTTTTCAACCGAATCTCTATCGCCACATCAGTATCATACGATCGGTTACCGTGGACAATTATTTTGATGTGTTTCCCTGAAATTAGTAAAGAAAACAGTTGAATTGAAGCACACACCCAGCATCAGGTGTAACTGCCCTGTTGCTTCTGTCATCGAAGTGTATTTGGAGTCAACAGATTATTTTCTTTTACTAAGCACAGGGAAATGTAAAATTATTATCTGTGGTAAGTGACTGCATGCTGCAGAAAACAATAGGTTGGAAAACACACACTTCTTTAACTAAAAATTATAAAATGACTAGGGAAAAACACTGTCTTGGGATGTAAAGTAAGTAGCTTGTTTGCTATTTTACCTGCCCAAAGTAACGGAAATATTGGCATCACTTTCACTTCATTCTGTCTTTCTGTAGCTATGTCTAATTTGTATTTCTACACACTCCTTGTTGGGAGTATTAATACATTTGTACACTACATTTATTAGGTAGTTGGGCACTTTTAACATCAGGTCTCACTGAACATTGAGGGTTCACCTTGATCAAATTATACTGTCACTGCAATATGGTGATAGATTGTACCCTGCAGGTTGTCTTTGCTTTTATTAGCTTAAGCTAGTGGAATAGGGGGTGTAATGGTCAAGCTTAGTAATCCATTGCCACAGTATATCAGTGTGCATCACAGCAAAATGGTTGGAGTTGACTTACAAATGCTAGCAAAGCTCCAGAAGATCAATGAGGCACAGTTAATGAGGTTAGCTGTAGTGCAGGTCTATATGGTTTCATAAGATTCATGTTCTCACAAAACCAGAGAACGTATGGAGTAAAAGTGTACATTTTTGCACATGGTTGCTCATTCATAAATGTGTATCGTGCTTTCTTTTTGGTAATAGTTGGTTGGATTTGTATGTTTATGATTCCAGCTAAGATTCCACAATCCCTGTGTTTTTTTACGGCGTTAATGCTTTGCACACACCTGTCCAATTTAGACTGGATCACAGATTGGGTTTCTATTTCTTTAATTTTTTCCCCCTGCAGTGTCTCAGATGTATCTATGAAAGTCCATTCCTGCTGTGTAGAAGAGAAAAATCCTCATTTTTTTTTTTCTCCTTCTTCTCTGTTTCTGGCAGCAGTAAGTCAGAACTTTGACATAGTATCAAAGAATAATGACATAATATGTCAATATAATAACAGATTTTCGCAAATGTTTGATTTAGTATAGCAAAATAATGACTTATTTTCTCTAAATTTCTGAATTAATTTTTTTAATTGAATGTTATTATTTTGACTTTATTTTGTCATTATTTTGAAACACGGTAATCATTATTGTTTTGACATGGTATTTCAAAATATTGAAATAAGTCAAAAATGTTGACATGCTACTTACAGAAACAGAGGAAAGTAGGCTTTTTTTTGTACTCTACCTAGTTGGAATGGGCTTCCATATACATCAGAAGACAACCCATGAACACAGAATTCACAGAAGTGCAGCAGAGCATGTGAACAGAGCAGGGTATGTGAGAATGCTATTGTGACAACACATATTTAGAAAAGGGAAACTGAAAGCTGCTTAAGAGCCTGGCAGAAACCTAAGTGCACTTGTCCTGATTGTTTAAAACAGATCATTTCACGTTTTGTTTTGTCTGCCGTTTGTATGAAGGGTTTACCCTCTTTAAGAAATTCCTACCGTCCAGAAGAGTTGTTGGGGTCTTAGACTGTACAGTTGGTGAGATGTGCAGGGAGTGATTAAGAAACTCTTACAAACATACCTTACAAATGGCAATGCAGTATACTCGGTGGAACACAATGTGTACATTTTTTCAGACATATAAGTTAATTTATTGAAGACTGTAGTATTGCATAATAAGGATTTGGTTGTATTTTTCTGTTGTCTTTTGTTGCTATATCACAATACATTGAAATATGAAATTAAATAGTTTCACTGCAAATAAAAAGATGGAACCAAAATGATGTGTGTACTTTGTACCAAACAAAGATGCTGTTTAGGTTGTGCTTAACACTAGATGGAGCTACTGCATTAAAACGCTTTAAAGGCAGCCTTACAATGGAATGGTAATTCCACCAAATTCACTTATTACAGTTGCGACAGCATACACATTTTTTTATGTTTGTTCATGTATGAACAGTGGGACTGAGGAATTACAGTATGTTAATGGTAGTATGTATGCAATTTCACATATAGAGCAAAATTAAAATCCTTGTTTTTAAAAAGCTCTTACAACAGCTCAGTATTTCTTGATTATATTCAGTTCCACATTCAGACAAAGCACTGAGACTGCCTTTTAGTGGTGGATGATTTGGGCCTGAACACTGATGCTGAAAAGACTCTCTGTTCTGATAGCGTCTGAGCTCAGAGACATCTTTGAAGCATCTAAGGAAACAATTGAATCATTCTGCTTTAGAGAACCTGCTGATCTGCATTATATCACTGGAATAGATCACAGCTGATTCAGGACTTGCATAACAGGACTAACCTTAACGACTTGTCAGTATAATTATTTGGGACAACAAGTGATGACTGTGTTCATATGCGCAAGTGCCTCAGCTATGCTGATTGAACTTCACATCTGTCTCTTAATAAAAGAGACTCTGCTCAAGCATGAATTAGAGATGTTGCAGTACTTCTTTATATTGTCCAAAACTGGTACCAAAACCAAAGCCAGTGAACTTTAAAATAAGCTATTTGTAATTGCACTTCATACAAAGGAGATGTCCACCAATTTTTCAAAATTTCTGTGTAATTCTTAAACTGAGACCTAAAAGAAGACATGCACAGTGTTTTAATATGAAATGGTTAATTGTAGAGAAACTTGCTGGCTTGTATTTCTATACAATGATGATGCCATTTTAGCTGTTTTATTTATTATCCAAAATGACCAGTGAACCTACATGTGTATTTTTATGTGAGTTTTAAAAATACACACGTAAGTTTATGTGAGTTTTATACATAATGTTGATAATGGTAAGACAGTCTTAAAAAATAATAATAAAGGTTTTCTTTGGGTGCTATTTTGCTTAACACTGAACTGCATGTACTCCTCCACCGTGAAAGGATATTAAAAAAAAGTACATTTTAGGCAAAACTTTATCTCAAAATTATCATAAAACAATGTCCCAGACATCAGGCAGCATATCCGTAACCATTTCATGTAATAGTTCACTTCACATCAAACCACTCTAAATGACTTTACATCCTAAAGATTTAATTATGTGGAATTTTGAAAAGTTGGTGGAATATACCTTTAAGATGGTCAGCTAATAGAACAATTCTCAAATGGTTCAGACAAACACTCTGTTAACCTACAAGATGAAATACATTGCAAAACCACAGCTTTTTAAAAAAGTTTAGTTCATCTATTTCTCACACACAAATACATTAATAATTTATTGCTTTTAAATAAATTAAGTAAATAAAGGAATTGGAACAGACTTGTTTGGAGAGGTCTCTTTTAGTGCTTGCACACATTTTAAAATTATTTTATTCAGTTTGTATTTTAAGTGAGGTGATTCCACAGAGGACAGTATTTGTAATTATAGCATTCTGAGCAGCAAACTCCACTTAAAGTGCTTAGTGGTTTGGGTTGATGATTGGATTATGGCAAGGATTATGGATTATGGCGATCTTTCATTTCTTCTTCATAATCTTGTCATTTCATGGTTTGAGTAACAGACAACACAATCTGCTGTTGTTGCAGTGCACAAAAATCATTGGCTAACCACTCAGGCTAGTCATCATGCCCTACTGCCCACCGTCTCTCATTCACCCACGCTCCTCAGACAGTTGGGCTTTTGATGACTTTTTCTAATAAGCAATTCTGAAAACCCATCTATTCATTTATATAGCTGTGGGAGAGGTATCCTGCTCCTACACATCAATGAATGAATCTGTCTTGCATTCATTCCCCAGTGGGAAAGTGCTCTAACTCATCACTGACTGTTTGTACAGAACCTGTGTCATGATGGTTTTGGCTGGTCAGAGTCCAGATTTAAAACCTACAGAAAATATTTGGTCTCACATTAAATACAAACTAGCTTGGCAATGTTTTTCAACTGTTTGAAGCCACCAATGCTGACTCTTCTTTCTGTAAAAGGCTGTCAGCAAGTTTACCTAAACAAGTTTAAGAAATCAAATAGAAAATCTATCCCATTCTAAGTAACTTTATCTGTTTGTTTAATGATTTGTTGTTAATGCCACTAAAAGCGCGTCATATGTGTCATATGTGGCAAATTTATTTTAGTCCTCGGTGTAGAACAGCAAGTATCAGAACAACCTTTTTTACCTGACATCTATTGTGCAATCTATCGAACTTTAAAAGAGTAACTGTGTTAAATGTGTATAGGGGGAGATATGGAGTTTTCATTGTTTACACAGCTAACCCCGCTGTGTAGAAGCTGAACTTTAGCCTGATTAGCTTGAGAGCTTCTCCAGCTTCTCCAGTCTCCAGTTTGTTTATACTTCAAAATGGTGCTATATATCGGCCACCAAGAGGGAGATTAGGTATGAATTTTGTGACAAATTTATACACCTCAGTGATTGAAAAACACTTAAAGAAAAGTTACTTTTATGGTAGAAAAACTGAATCTGGAGCAACATCTGTCCAAACTTCATGGATGAGTTGCTATAGGAATATGAGAAGGCCAAAAGCCTGTTCTACTTGAACCTGTTTAACTACATCAAATATCCATGTTGCATTTTATCCCCACGTTACTTTGTGCTCCACTGTCCCCTACCTTGCATCTACATTTACAGCTCTACTTATCATATAGGTGCACTTTGTAGTTCTATAATTGCAGACTGTAGTCCATCTGCTTCTCTGCATACTTGTTAGCCCCCTTTTACCCTGTTCTTCAAAGGTCAGGACCACCACAGAGCAGGTGTTAGTTGGGTGATCATTCTCAGAACTGCAGAGACACTGATGTGGTGGTGGCGTGTTAATGTGTGTGTTTACTTGGTACAAGTGGATCAGACACAGCAGTGCTGCTGGAGTTTTTGAACACTGTGTCCACTCACTGTCCACTCTATTAGACACTCCTCATTGTTGGTCCACCTTGTTGATGTAAAGTCAGAGATGAGCAGAGATGAAACTGTGCATCTGTTGCTGCACAGTTTGTGTTGATCATCCTCTAGTCCTCCATCAGTGGTCAGTTTCTGTGTCTGATCTTCTCTGTGTAGGACACACACACATTAACATACCACTACCATGTCAATGTCACTGCAGTGCTGAGAATGACCCATCACCCACAAAACACCTAGATGGACTACAGCCTGTAATTGTAGAAATACAAAGTGCACCTATATGGCAAATAGACCTGTTAAAATGCACAGAGACAATGTTTTTGTTGTTAAAAGGACCATATGTAACTTCAGTGTTTATGAGTCCTCACCATGACATGAGTGATGAAGTGATGATGCTGCTTCTGCAGTTCTGTGTTTTTGTTACCCTCAGTTATGCAGTATTCCCATTCAGCTCCTCTGCGTCCACTTTCAATTGAGTACAGACCAACAATTCAAATCACCATGGTGACTGTAACTAGGTGACATGGGGGCAGCCTGCAATGGCGTCAAAGAGAAATGAGAACAGTCCGGGCACGTTTCAGACCCCCACACCACGGCTTCCAGTCACGCACTCTCATAATAGCCATGGGAAAAAAAAGCTGTCAAAACATGCTGAGGCAATAGGCGGTAGAGCTAGACATACTTACCATCAGCCCTGAGTGCTTCTCTTTGCAGTGTTGTAATGTTTTCTGTTCAGTATCATTAGAAACACTGGTCTTCAAACTGTGATTCCATTTATCATTCTTTTAATGTGACGTTTACCATCTTTAACAAGAAAAAAAAAGTGTATTTGCTTTGCTTGAAGTTTGCAAATAATGAAATCCATGCATAGTCAGAATGTATGCAACAATATAAAGTGTTCCTCTTATGCATTCTTCTTATACATTTTCTCTCCCCTTACATCACCCATGGGTCGCCCACTCTCAAAGTATGATTCAGTCAGTTTCCACCCTGAAAACTGTGGGTTGGCCAAACATAAGCCACAGGCTGATAAAAATGTTTCATGTGGCTGAAGGCAAAAGCTGTGCTGAGTCAAGACAGGAAAGCAGAAAGAGTTATGACCCTTTAAAAAGAATACCTTGTATTTGACAAGCTTCTCCTCACTAGCCCACTGCTCTGAACTGGGACTTGCGTGGGTGGGTTTCAGAGGTGGGACACTAAAATAGGAGGTCTCAAGGGTGTTGTGCATTAAAGAAGTGTTGCAGTAATGCTTGACTCAGTGGAGTAGGCCTGTTTAATTATAGAAGTGTAATTGTAGTGAAACACAATATTATACAGCACCGATAATTGTGCTGCAATTAAGATGAAATCATTCCTTGTGTATCCTGCACTAATGCTTACTGATATGGAACCACTTATCATTATCTGTTATCAGTTTGTGTCTTTAGTCCATTTATGCATTAATGAAAATATTCTTTCTAGATTTCTATGTCTTTTTATTTTTTGTTATTAATGAAATTATTTTAAACCATTCTTCGTGATATAGGCCTTGTCAGAAGAAAAACAGCACAAATAACATTTTTTATAACTGTATTATTAATAAATATATTGTATGCCAAATGGGCATGTGAAAAGGCTCTCGGGAGGCGCTGCACTCACGATAGGAGAGACTTTAATGTTCGTTGTATAGGTTGCTGGATCTTCTTTAGCATGTGTTTACATGTTGGTTGTGCTATTTTGTGCTGGGCTATGAGGTAGTTAGGTGGATTAAGGGTCCACCATGAAGGACAGCTGTATGGTTAGAGGTGACCTGTCTGCCCGGCATGTAAGCTAGTGCTGAGCAGTGGTTCTCTTTTGCTGCCTGTTCAATAAAAGAGCATTCTCAATTAAAGTGCAACACAACTTCTTCTTTGCTGGTACTACAATATGTGTTCAGTTAATAAATGTGTTATAAATAGTCTATAATATAAAGATGCCGCTGAACTAATTAAATGTATATATGATAGAAGGTGGGCATTACTTCTTTGCTAATATGGGCCTTGTGGGTAGGAAATTTATAATATCTATTCAGATTAAATTACTCACTGTGTATCCTGGACTACTGCTTATAAGGCACCACTTTCCATTACATGCCATCAGTTCTGGCCTTTAGTCCAGTTATATTATTTTGGAACTTATTCTAACCTATTCTAACTCACGTAAACCCTTTTTCATTTTGAAAAATCAAACATATTACTATTATGCTTAATAAATGCATTTGTTTACCAACATGTTTTTGAGATTTTGTACATAAATGAACAAATTGTTTCTGTTTTTGGGAAAAGTTGGAGAGTTCTCTCATTTCCAATGAAAGACAAAAGGCCTGAACACGAGTTAGACAGAGGCGGGCCTTGGTGTTTTATTGGCTGAGCCGCCACAGAAAGACGGACCTTCGCTTTCACTGGCTTTCCCGTTCGTGGGGGGCGGGTATTCGTGTCTGATTGGCTGCGTCGGACTGCCATTCACCGTTCGTGCGTCATTTCCGTTGTCAGGTGGTGCTGCTATGGAAAGATGTGATCAGTCCGACGGGACGAGGCTCTTCTGCGCGGCGACGCTTTGCTTTTCCAACACCCAAACAAACTCGCCTTTTCACCCACACACCGCTTCGTGGCGGGGGAATAGCCGTTTATGCGCCACTCCTGAGAAGAAAGCTGGGCAGAGATGTCGGCGGTTTTGTAGACGGCAGAGGAGGATTCCCCCCCGGCGGTTTTAGCTCGAGGTGAGTGAGTTATTAAATGGCCCGTCAGTCCACCGAGAGAGAGGCGGCCAGCTGAACGAGCTAACGATAACGACAAACCCAGCCGTAACTAGATACACATACAGCTACCGCCTCCATAAGCTTCACTTTGCATGGGGAACTTCGTGCCTTGATAATGTTAGTCGTGGTGAACACTGTTATCAGCTCTATCGACCAACACAAGTTTAGCTCAAAAAACTGTCAGCTGAAAACGCTGTGGCTAGTTAGCTAACTAACTAGCCTAGTGCTCAAAACACACCAGCGCAGTTTGTTTTGGAGTCCCAGCTTCGTTTATTTCACTGACCTGTCACATTTTACACCCAACAATAAGCAAACATTTAGGGCGCTTAATCGTATAACGTTAGCCGAGCGAGGCTTTTTCCTGTGATCAAACTTAGGACTAGCCTAAGCGGTGGCCCAGTCTTCCTGTGACTGTGACTGATAACCCAACGTTAACGCTTTCCTTACCGCTAACATTAAGTAACAATGAGTAACATTAGCTAAGTGCCTGAGTGAGTTAGCTGGAGGAGATAGCTAACCTAGATAGGTTAACTTAGTCAGCAGAAGCTGTCACCCCAATAGCGTTAGCGATGCTTTGTGCAGGGGGACGGTGGGTTTTAACGTTAGATACACTTGTCACTGTACACCTAGTGGTGATTTAGCGACCATGTCTGTCAATGCTTAGTCAGGAAATCTTTAAAGCTTTTACAAATTATTAGCGTTCGTGTATTAGTACGTTAACGTGCCTTGCCGCGATTGCCCACATTGCTACAACGTGTGCATCTGAATTTAGCTCCCTCGGTACTGAGACGGGTATTATGTTCCAAAGCCATTGGGCTCAGATAAATTACATCATTTCACCACAGCAGCAAACTTACGTCATGATAAAAGCAAACCTAAGAAAAGAAAGAACAATCTAAAATTATTTCATGTATTTCATTGTCCGTCCGTACAACCGTTCCCTTGTCCCGTTTTGGCCCACTGAGCGCACAGCTGGAAGCCTTGGGAGGCGGAACACATTGTACCTGAATTTTAGGTCTTATGAATGAACGTTGATAACAGCAATTTAGCGCTTCCCAGACATATGTAAGGAAAATATCCGACCCAGGAGCAAATGCTAAACTCTGCACAAAGTCACATCAAAGTGGATTGAAAGAAATATTGAATCCTAGCTTTGAATATAAGGTATGGACTGCAAGAAATGATGCAGCCTGTGTCCTGCTTTCAACGAGAGCCTTTCATTTTTCTTTGTACTTCATGTAAATTCCTGGTCACATTTAGGAGTGACCTACCTTGCTAGATAAATGCATGGGCATGGTGTCGTTGTGCAAAGCTATCAAGAAAAAAAAATCTGTTAATACATCTCAAAGGGTGATGACCATGTGATCATGTCTGTCACTGATGTCTGTCGCATTGTCAACAGTCTGGAGCTTGAGGAGAAAAAGAATCCCTGTCGAAAGTGAGAATTTATGTACAATCGCAGCCAAATGAACTCCTACTCCCTCCAGACAAGCTGTGTTCAGCTGCAGAATAGCATCAAATGATTTTTTTTATGCTTATTCTTGTGATTTCAGAGGTACAAAACATGAATCCTGACAATACCCAATGCCTTGAATGCCCCAGTTACCTTGTTATGCTATATCTGAATGTTAACTGGTCTAAATTTGAAATGTGGGATGGTGTTACATTGCTATTTTTTGCCTGCCTCTCTGGTGTTTATTTTTAGAATACCTCAGAAGGTGGGCATATTTCATAGGATAACTGCTCTTATTGTGATTTTGCTTGTTTAGACCAATCTAGAAATGACTGGAGATTTTTTTTATTTTTACTGGCCAAAGCTCTGCAAATGGACTCTCACTTCCCACATTATAGGACTATTTCTTGCTGACTGTTATGCTTGTTCTGGTATCAAGATATTTCTTGTTTCTGACAAATCATAAGGCAAGTGAGAACCTGGGAGCTTCTCTGTGAATCACACTGTGTTAGTGTTGGGCATGTACTTCCTTCTTACAGGAACCAGAGTGTTTCATCAAATTAGAGGAACCAATTTCCTGGCAAAATAAACAAGCAACGTTCCCCTGCTAAAACTGGCTCTAGGTGTTTACACTGCAGTTAAGCAAGTCCTAAGATACCAGTTTGAATGCTGGTTTTATTTTCTATTTATTTATTTTAAGCATTACTGTAATGTTAAATGCTTGAGGGTTTTCTGGGTTTTTGTTTGTGAATATTACAAAACATCTGTCTTGTGCCATGCAGATTTGCAGATAAACTTACAAGATTAAGAGCAGAAGGATTAAAAATGAGGGAGAAAAGGATGAATTAAAACAGCAGAGTTCACCATGGAGCCATGGTCTATTTTTGTAGACTTGATCTTCCTTTGGTGTGCATGTGCGTGTGTGTGTATGGAGGCCCATCTGTTGTGCATGCAGACTCTGTGCAGTCTGCACATTTGCTGATTTTGAATGGACTGATGCCCACTGTGTCCATGCATAGCTTATGCATGTGTTCCCATTTGTGTTGGTGAGATCACATCAGGAGAATTCACACCAGCAACCGTCCCCTATTGATGCAAATGGACCTGTGATGCCCTGCCATTCATTCAGGGCTAGTGCTGTTGGCAAATCTTCTGATTGCTGTAAAGAGGTGGGGAGGGGTTATCTCTTACTGACACCAACCCCCATCCCCCACATAAATGTCTTTCCTCCCTCCCTGTGACTCACTCTTTGCTGCCAGTCTACTGGAAGCCATCAGTAGTGGTGGACTGGATGTTTTCTTTCAAGATTTGGAATGTGATGAGCCAGTTTGTCAGAGATCTAGTTGCTGCAGTGTTGTGAAGGTGCTTATAGAGTGTGTTTAGAAGTTCATTTCATTATTTATCCACCCAATGCATGTATTTTATTTATTTATTTTTTGATGTAAAGTTGCTACTCTTCAGACACTTGCAAAATCTATCCCCTTTTGGCATTTGATTGTATCTGCTTTTGGTGTTCCTTTACAGATCTACAGAATGTCTAAGCGCTGTGCTTCTGAGAGAGGGGCAGGGGAGTCATCCGGCAGGGCCAGCAAGCTCCTTTGTCCTGGGATATCTGGCAACAATGCTAAGAGAGCTGGCCCCTTTGTTTTAGGTAGGAAACCTGAGAATATTGGGTGCAAAATCTGATTGTCTGATCTGTGTTTAATGGTGCACAAAAATTATATTCTATTACTCAGCTAAGAATGTTTCATGATCTTTACAACTTAAGTTACTCAATGCTGACTTTAGCAAGGTGATACTTTGCACTTGAATTGACTTTACCTTGTACTCAGAGCTGTTAGAAATAGCTCTGTGTTAATGGAGAGCACTGTAATAAGTGTGTTTACATTTGGAGGGAAATTGCATCCTAGGGCGCAAACTGTACCTTTTGGTCCAACAACAGCTGTTCACTTCCTCCATCTTCCTCTGTTCACCAGGGCCCCGACTGGGGAACTCTCCCGTGCAGAGCATAGTGCAGTGTTTGGCCAGGAGAGATGGAACAGATGATTTCTACCAGCTAAAAGTAAGTTAGCCTACCTTTTTTCTATCTTAAAAAAAATCTAAATTGGCATGTGATCTTTCCAGGGCACAGAGATAAAACAAAAGCCCCAGTGTCTCTTACTCATTGCGAACCTTTGACCTTCCTTAACAGGCCTCTTCCATATTGTTCATTTACGACCTTATACAAGAGATTTGCCTAATCTGGAGACATCTGACCACTGCGAGCAATTCACTTACTTTATGAGGGGCTATTGGATAATGAGTCTAAGAAACTTTTGTTTGAGCAAGAATTTAATTTAGAGATGCCAACCAAGGATTTGAAAATTGTACCCCCTTTCTGCTGTAGAGAGCTCAATGTGTGTCAGTTCTTTGTCCCAGCTGTATCTGTCTGTGCTGAATGAAGGGTGGGCGTATCTGCCTTCTTCTCACTAGAAGCTTTTATCAGGTCATCTGTGTTGTCTCAAGATCAAGAATTGGCCTACTTTGTCACCCCTGGAAAGATAAGGAAGCTGAGATGCTCAAGATGTTTTAACGCATAATCTGTTGGGGTCATGCCCTCTGAGCTGTAGTCTCTTCCTTAGATTCTGACCCTAGAGGAGCGAGTGGACGCAGCCGGGGAGACGCAAGAGGAGAGGCAAGGCAAGATGCTGCTGCACACCGAGTACTCGTTGCTGTCTCTGCTCCATAACCAGGATGGAGTGGTGCACCATCATGGCCTCTTTCAGGTAGAAGCAAAGCAAATGTAACAAAAACATACATTTTAAAGGGCTTACTAGGAAAATATACTTGGACTTGCTCCACATTCTGAGGTGATAATCTCTTGGATTTACCTGCCTCATCATGAGCTGTCTTTTTGTATTTTTTCCCTACAGTTTCCTTTTTGCAACTGTTGGGATTAGATTTAGCACATTCTGCAAAGTCTTCTTTGACAACTCCTGTGTAATTTTTTTTTTTTAGTGTAAACATTTCTACAAGAACATTTTGCTGCACAGCTCAAAGTGACTCATCAGTTAGTTTAGTTTATGTTTGAGCCAGGCATTCTTCTCCCACTCTCTCATCTGCCTCACTGCCATTGCCGCTCCTCCTCCTCTCTCAGCAGAGCAGAGCAGGGATTCACAATTGCATGGCTGAACTGCGGGCACCATTCATTCAAGCATGCACTATTGATTGGGTTATTATAGCTCCTCTCCAGAGGGGGCTGTAAACTATGGATCACTTCTGTAAGCCTGCAGAGGCACAATCGTCTCTCAGCCCATCCACATGCTAACCATGCTAGCAGCCAGAGTCTAGCCATATTTGAACCCTAGAGAGACTGTATCTTTCATGCTGTTATGAATATTCCATAGTCCCAGGAAGAATTAGTAGTGTCTCATTATTTAGATGGTTTGTACCTATCTGTGCCTCTGTACCAGTGCTTTCCCTAATAACCCCTCTCTGGTTCTCAGGATCGCTCCTATGAGATTGTGGAGGACATGGAAGCCAATAAGGTGAGGAAGATGAAGAAACGGATCTGTCTGGTGCTGGATTGCCTATGCGCTCATGACTTTAGTGACAAAACAGTTGACCTCATCAACTTGCAACACTACGTCATCAAGGAGAAGAGGCTGAGTGAGCGCGAGGCCATTGTCATCTTCTACGACGTAGTGCGAGTGGTGGAGGCACTACATAAGGTGAGCAGTGGTTTATAGATGCCCATAACAAAGTATGGATGACCTTAAATGGACCTTGAATGAATGAGTGAATGAATGAATGAATGAATGAACAGTTTTGGGTAGAATTGGTCATATGTGTTATCTGTTAAATCACAAAAAATTTAAAGATAAAGTGCACATCTCCAGACACTTTTTAAAATGTTGCTTCTCTCTCTACAGAAGAACATTGTGCACCGAGACTTGAAGCTTGGAAACATGGTGCTTAACAAAAGGTAGGACCTCACCCCACTGATTTCTTTTCCTCTTTTACCTGCTGTGCTAGAGGAGCTGAAGGCTGCTGTCTGACATTCATTTGGCCTTCAGGCAGCACCAAGGCAGGTGCTTATTCACCAAGAAAAGCCTGGCCTTGTTGACCCGCCCCAAGCGCTGGAGAATAAGCATATGATTCAGCCCTGTGGTTGGAGTTTGGGAAGCAGGAGAGGGAGCCTCTTCCAGTGAAAATAAGTCAGTGCGGAACGTGCCCTTGCTTTGTTCTCTGGAAGGGGGAGAGAGTTGGGGGGGGGTGATTGCACATGGAGGCAGGGGTATTTCAGGTCAGTGAGTGCAGTGATTTGGATAGTTACTGCAGAATTCCAAACTCTGTGTGTGTTGTGTATGTAAGACAACCCTTTTTTTTTTTAACTCTGACAGTTTTATTTTTTCACTTGCAGTTTTATTTACTAAATTCCTCTTTACTAGATTAATTATATATGGCAGTTTGAGTTGAAAGTTCAGTGAACCGTTTGATTTTTATGCAACACTGGTTGCTGGGAAAGGCTTAAATTAATGTGCTGTACACTGAATAATGAAAAATCCTGAGTTGTAGCTGCTCACATTTGCAAGCATGTGTTGCTTGTGTCTGGGTTGGAACCACATGAGGCTCACACTAATACTCAATCAGTCTAATCTTGGAACTCACCCTGCCGCACCATGTGAGCTTGACAGCATGCTCACATGGTGGAGCTGAATGAGTTTCGACTGTCTCCCAGCAACCCCAACTTACCTCAGCTTGCTGAACAATTAGAGTTGACTGCAAGCCTTTCATGGCTTGAGCATTTGGACTATCCATACACATAGGGCACGTTTTAGAGGCTTTGCTGTTGATGTGGTGTGTCTTTGTGTGGAGTAAACTGTGTAATGTATAGATGTAAAATGCAGCACGGTTCTTGCAGAATTCTTGGCTAGTTTTGGCCCATGTATGCAATAACACATTTGCGATTGGTGGCTTTTCAGCAAAGGCTGAAATAATCACTTAGAAGCAGCACATGAAAATTAGTAAATATATGGGTAATGTTTAATTCTAATACATACACACAGAAGCTTACATGTAGTCTCCTATAGTGATGAGAAGGAGGGCTCTGGTCTGACTGGCTCATTGGAGCAGGAGAGTAGAACACTCTGTCCCAGCTGGAGACAATACAGCGCGCTGCCAAAGGATCCATAGCTCAGAGCTGAGTCACACACGCACACACGTCACCCTGGCAGGGCTCTCCCTCTGCAGTTTTTCCACATACCTCTCTTGCCCTTTCGTCTTTTCAACCTGTTCCTTCTGCTGATTCCAGAAAGTGTGCTTACTGAGCGCTAGGAAAGGAGCTAAGGATGTAACAACTTTGGGTTCATTTGGATAAATCTCTGGCTCTTGATGATGACTGTACATGCAGGCAGCTTTATAACAGATTCTTTCAGATGATGTAATTCCCTGATTGTCTACAATATTCAGATTAAAGAACATTTCACCGAGGAGTGATTGAGATCTTGGTAATGCGGTGTGTGAACGAACTAAAAGAAATGGCTGTGTTTGAATATTTTGGATAGGGTAAGCTGGTCTGAGTCGAGTAGAGGTTGGTGTGCTTAACAAAAGGATCCGTTGGTGCTAAGTTGTTATGCTACTTTGTAGCAAATTAGTTTTGCTAATAAATCATGACATAAAATTAGTCCTGAGACTTTTCGAAAAATCAGACGAAATTAGATTGGTGGTTCAATAGTTAAGTGGTTATTTGAGCATAAATATCCAGCTGAACTGATGTTTGAGAGTCCTGTATAGTGTAAACCAGGGGTCTTGAGTCTTATCTGCAAAGGGTCTGTGAGGCTGCAGGTTTGCATCCTGCCAGGAGGAGCACAACTTGTGTAAGCCATCAGTTGTTTGAAGACTGAGACCAACTGATTAAACATGGGGAGTCAAATGTACTTAAACAGCCCTTAATGGGTAAGACTGATGAAGCAAGTTCAAATTAGATGGGGTTCCTGAGGAAGTTTCAGCTTCCCAAACCTAACAAATGGTTTCTCTGTTAAAGCAAATTTGGATATTCAGGCTATGGTTAATCTCTTTGCACATGCACAAGACAGCATGATATTTATGACCAGCAACCAATCGACATGAAGAAAATAAAGCATTTACAGCGGTAAGACAGCAGTGCTGTCACAACTGCTCCTGTATTAATACTTAGTGGAGTAATAACTGCTTTATATTCTTATTACATGTGTAGGATGATTTGCTTCCTCTGCTAAATACCTGATATTCTTCATATGATTTATACAATTAAATGGCAAGAAGAAAAAAAAAGTGACTGGAGGGGTTAGAAATCACAAAGTTAAGCTGTGCAGCAAGTTGCCATGGTGATGTAGCCTGGTAAAATGTGATTCACTGTGGTGAATCCAGAGCTACATTGAATAAATCCAGAACTACATTGAATAAAGCTTAAAGTTGGCTAAAATCCTGCTTTGTGAGGCAGGTCACTGGTGTAGATCATCAGCTTCTTGCTTTTTGTGTTTGTCATAGAGCTGACCTTATTGTTTTCACACTCGCCCAAAATCTCACGTTTCTATGATGGTGTTGCACAGCTGATGCTGTGTTTGAGGAGCACTCTAATCAAATATATGCTTTGTCAAATAAAAAAAAATGATAAATACAGCTGTAGCTCCAGAGTTTGCTTGGACTGGTCAGTTCAACACCTAAACAAAAGGTTAACAAGTGCTGAGTGGGGTCAGTATTGTGAGAAGCACAGCTCCCTGATGTACTGAAGATTCACTCACACCTTTCAAACAGCTGCCTCCGCCCATTCGCACCTTTCACGTCCTGCCGAGTACACACACTTTCCCTGTCACTGGGGTTCCTTAGTGCCACTACAACAAAAGCACCACAGTAGTCCAAAGTGTGTCTGCATCTGTGCATTCATCGCTCACTGGAACTTCAGGTAGCAAAGCAAAGAGCAAGAGAGGTCTTCTTATGCAAGTGCCTGTGTGTTTTGATACTTCTCAAGACAAAATGGCCTGATTTTGTAGGAAAACAGAGCTATCCTACAATGCCAGGACCAGCAAAATGGTCCTTTCTACAGAAGCTGTTTCACTTTTTAAAACTGAAACTTCATTCTTTTTGGTTACTGAGGTTCAGGTTAGGTTTGGGGTTAGTCTTAGAAAATACTTTGTCCGTATACAATACTGTGTAAAAGTTGCCCTTCATTTATTTTATTTCCAGTCAGAACCACCATTAAGTACAAATGATGATTTTTCAAAAATCTAAATCGTCAAAAGTCAGATATTTAACAGAAAATTACATAGAAGCCTGTACAACTAAATATTTCATCAGTTTTTTTCAGTAGTTCCACCCTTTTATCACAGCTTCCATTCTCGCCTTTCACTTTTTCAAAAAAAAAAAAAAATCTGCAAATACAAAATCAGAAGTCAAAGTCCAGTTTTAGAAGTTGGTTGCATTTTCTGCTTCTCATGATCCATGAAGTAATGCCAAATACAAGAGTGGAGCTTGATTTTCTTCTTTCTTGCAAAGATGAAGCTTTAAGTACTGTTTGTTGATGTTGACAGGTTTGGTGGTCTACCAGGCGTTGCACAGTTATTAGGACTCCATATCTTTTAATAATTCTTTGAACTCCAGTTTTGAAAACTTTAGTTTTCCCCACCTCTTTTTCCTTTGACAATGACCTTAGTTAACAAGTGGACCTCCTTAGAAATCTCTCCTGAAAACAAGATTAACTTGTACTTAATGGCTGTTTTAACTGGGAATTGAATAGATGAGTATGTGTGAGTGTGCCATGTATGACCCACATCCTGACGTTGTGTAAAAAAAAAAACCTGTGGGTGTGTGAGTGACAAAGAGAGAGAAGTCGTCTTGTAATAAATGCACACATTCCTCATCTTCCCAGAGTGACAGTGAAGTGCTTCTGTTCTCTATTGCTTTAAACCTAGTTCCTGTTTTGGTGAGTGTTGCTTAAACGGAGGAACTCCATTTATTGAAATGTTGCATGAAAGTCCTGTGTTGCTGTCAAATGAAGGCAGCTGTGTCAGGATTTCAGCCCTAAGACTTCCCCCTTACATTTAAATTTTTTAGCTTTTCCCAGTAGTGGGGATATTTTTAGCTGCAGGGAGAGGCAAGAATTCTTCCGGTTTCCCTCGTGTGTACGGGAAGTGGAGATGAAGTGCTGTGAGTTAGCATCCTGAGGGACACTTGTGAGGAGAGCAAGTTTTATCAGCTTGGGAGCTGCAGCTAAAGCTGGGTAACTTAAGCCAGACGTTAAGCCTTTCCAAGAGGAGACATTTGTAATGGATGTTCCTCCCTTTGCGCTTAAGTTATCTGGCTAACTGAGATCCTGCTTTGGGAAACAGCTCTTAGCAGTGGGGTCTAAACACATGTGGCTCTGTTGTATTGAAATCCAAAGAGAACAGACTGGCACCACACACGCACACTTCCGTTTACACTCTATAAACAGCCAGTTTGCATTTAAATTGATAGGAAACTCTCCCAGGAAAGCAGAGGACTTGTGGAACAGCCCTAATTGTAACCTTGCATGCTTGTGAGTCACTGTCAGAGTGTGAAAGTGAGAGAGATTTGGAGAAGCAGTGGAAAAGAGGATGTGACTGAGAGAATGGTTTCATGAGTAAAGCTTCGGTGATGAGCCACTACAGCTGTGTTTTTGGCAAAGCTGTGCCCATTGGATGTCTCTTCCATAGCAACACTGTCTGCTGAGGAGTTTGCTCCATGCACATTGGCTTTTATGAGCAACGGTTATTGTGCCTCGCAATGTAAAATAGCTCTGATCACTCCTCTTTACTGTGAAAGGTTAGTCATCCGTGTGCTTGCGCTAAGCCACAGGTTGACTCACTTGTTTGTCAAAGTACAGCCTCTGTGTGTACTGTCATGTTTAGTTCTGTTCTCAGTAAAGGCAGGGCATTGCAATTTCTACTGCACTCCATGGCTCTCTGCCACCCACAACAGTTGTGATGACACAGATGAAAATATCAGACATGTTCATGCACATACCAACAGAGCTCATCTAACAACAGTGGGGAAGTTTCAGGAAGTCGTTGGGTGCATGCAGCCCCCCCCCTCACACTCTGTCCTCTGCTTTTTAACTTGTAAATAGAGTTTTAGAAAATGCTTTAGACTCACAGCATCCAGCCAAACACAAAGATTTTGAATGGAAGTTACTAAAATATTGGAGTTGGAGATGGCAGGAGGTAGGAGAGTGAGCCAGCAACCAGAGGTTTGCGGGTCAAATCCCAAGACTGACTGGCTGTTCCCGATAGCCCCAGGCAGCGCTGTTTTTTTAGCAACGCTGTGCTGCTCCAAAACTGGGCATACTTCATCAGCAAAATGACAAAGTATAGGAACAATGAAGTATAACATGACAACCCAGCTAGGCTTTAGTCTACTCCATCCAAAATAGAAAACTTTTGGTGCTAGCATATTTTTCATCTGGTTGTTGAGCGTGTTCGCAAAGCTGTGCATTTCTATGTTGCAGGACTCATCGGATCACGATCACCAACTTCTGCCTGGGTAAACATTTGGTGAGTGAAGAAGATCTACTGAAGGACCAGAGAGGCAGCCCAGCCTATATCAGCCCCGACGTCCTGAGCGGTGAGATGTTATGGATGCATTGTGTGTTTGTGTGTGAAAGAGAGAGAGAGAGAGAGAGAGAGCACATGAACGAGCGAGAGAGAGAGGCTATGACTCACCTTCCATGTCACCACTGTAATCAAAACTCATAAACTCAACCACCCACGCTGCACTGATCACGACAGCAGACAGTCAAACGGCAGGAATGACTGAGGGTTAGGTCTACTAAGGTAGATTATTACCTGTGTAGTGTGCCACAGGTCTTCTGTATGTCTAATTGAATAAATTCTGAATGTACTGTGATTGGTAATAAGACGTCTTGCTGACAGTAACATTTCTGCCCCTGTGCTTCCATTCTGTGACTAAATAGAATCAGGCCTGCTTTTGAATTAACGTGGTTTTAGCTTGTGTTTTACATGGAATTTTGCACAAACACCACCTCCTTAGATCTCTGTTAATCATGATGGCAGTCATGGTTCTGCTTTTCCAGGTAGATTTAGAGGCCAGTTATTTTTTTTGGTATATGTGGTTGGTGAGGACTGGTTGAGTATTTGTTTGTTCTCCTCCGTTCTCATAAAAACAAAGGGAACTCGGACGTAGATCAGCGAAACGTGACAATAGAACAATGAAGCACTGCCTGAATGAGTCATCAGCATGAGTCACACCAAGGGAAACTACTCCTCCTTCCTTCCCTCTCTTTCTCTCTCTGTCTTTCACTCCTTCTTTTCTTCTCTTTTCTGTCTGTGTCTTTTTATTCTTCTTTCTTTCTTCTATGTTTCTTGTCTTCCCATTCTTCTTTTCTTTCTATTTTGGTTTCTGCTTTTAATATTCATGGAGCAGAGAAGTGCAGATGCCTTGTGCATATGCAATTCAGGCAGACACAGTGAAGCTTCAGCACAGTCACATATCTGCTGTACAGGACATGTAGAAGGTGTCAGTTCTGGAGCTGTCATTATCAGTGACTCATGAGCTTTTCTGTGAGCTTGTTTTAATTAGCTATTTATGGCCATGAGCAGAAATTCACAGAGCGTTAAGGTTATTTGTCTGCTGGGAAGATATTTTATAACCTGAGTTTCCACAAACAGAACATTATTGCCTTACTTCTTCATTTGAATGACTGTGATGTTGAGCAGTGTTTGATATATTGGACACTAATATGAGAGTTGGAAGTTTTGGTGAAAGGTTGGACTGCACTGCAGTAGTTAAAAATATAGCTCTCAGTATTTTCAGTTTTTGATAATAAATGAAGAGATATGAAGATATGATACATTACTTAGAAAATCTCCAAAACATGTCTGTCTACTGAGGGTGTTTAAACTTCTGTATATAATTATATCTTAATATTTATGCATTCTTTCTGAAATAGCTTAAGAGTGATTCCTCCCCCCCGAAGTGTTATCCACTGTACTATACAACAGCTTTAATTGTTGCATTATCGTTTGATGTTTCAATTATGTGGATGAGACTCATACTTGTGAGACAGGGAGGGATCACATGAATGCCAGGGTGCTAAGGAACTGTCATTGTCATTCCTTCTCACCACAGACGTGTTGAGTGAGCAGTGTAATATAGTTTCTCCAAGACACGGTTCTACTTTTTATTGCAGAAGAGCATCAGACAGTGTGTGTATTGTGTACACTGAATGTGCATAATGAGGAGTATTAAGATCCCTCTGTGATATTTATTATGTTGTCTAATGTTGTCTCGCCAAAAAAATTTGCAAAAAAATGTAAATATTCGATACGACGCTCAGCCCTATGCTAAGATTTATCTTCATTTCTTATCCTCATTGTAAGGTTTTGGTCAGTGAGAATATTACCCACTGGGGATAATATTTGAAGGCACTGGGTTTGTAGGTTCACTGGCTTACAGAGTTTATTGCTTTGTTGCAGGTCGGCCATACCGTGGAAAGCCCAGTGATATGTGGGCTCTTGGTGTGGTACTGTTCACCATGCTCTATGGCCAGTTCCCCTTCTACGACAGCATACCTCAAGAGCTTTTCCGCAAGATCAAAGCTGCAGAGTACTCTATCCCAGAGTGAGTGATGCACACGTTTCTGCTTGTGTTACCTTTCTCTCATAAATCAACTTTAAGAGATAAAAAAAAAATGTCTGTATTTGTGTTGGAAGCAGCAAAGGCATACTGTGTTCATGCAGTGTTTTCTGTCATTTTAATTAAGCATTTTGGTGGGCATGATCATGTTTATTCTGGTGTTCTGATGTTCTGTGTGTACACTCACGTGCAGGGATGGGCGGGTGTCTGAGAACACAGTGTGTTTGATCCGTAAGCTGTTAGTGCTGGATCCCCAGCAAAGGCTGACTGCAGCAGAGGTTCTGGAGTCTCTCAGTGGAATCATCGCCTCCTGGTGAGTCCCAGCTCAGTGCTTCCTACCTGCACTTTGCTGAACTGAAGTTTTGTTCCTTCAGTATTACCTCACTGGGTTGCATAACTTCAGTGGGATTTAGAGCAATAGCAGTTCCCCCTCCCAGAATACAACTCAGGAAGTTCAGTATTCAGTAACCTGTTGAAAGTTTGTCTGTATGACCTCATGAACAGTGATTCATAGATATATGGTCATCAGTCTCTGACCTCTGTTTCATAGGCAATCTGTCTCATCAGTGAGCGGCCCCCTGCAGGTGGTGCCAGACATAGACGACCAGCTCAACCAGCCAGAGCATCTGCAGGAGGTCAGTACTTGTTTTTTCTTAAACATTAGAATATTACAAAATTAAAGTTCTGCTCAGAGCATGAATCACTGTTGCTTTTGTATCGGATTCTTGTAAATGTGGATATTTTACTGATCAGCTGATTGTGAAGCATAGTTGTACACTCTTTGAAATCACAGTTCAAAGTCATCCATAATATGAGACCAATCTTGTTGCAGATATGGTGGTTCTTGTTCTTCCTGTTCTTGTTCTTGTTCTTCTTGTTTTTCTTCTTCTTAATAATCAGCAGAAAGTATTAAAACAGGGGTGCTCAGTCTTGGTCCTGGAGATCTGCTGCCCTGATGGTTTAGTTCCAACCCTAATCTAACACACCTGATCCAGATCATATAGGCCTTTAGGAGCATTTGCCTAATAGGTACTCTCCTGGGTGGTAGATCTCCAGGACCAGGATTGGGCACCCCTGTTTTAGAAGTTTGAAGATTAAAAATAAACAAATAAATAAGACAAAAAAAAAGAGTTTTGACAAGTAAAAGAAAGAATAACTATTTAGGATTCTACACTGTTTTCTGGTCGCTATTCAAATTAAGCACATTTGTGACACTGATCATATCAAGGCCTTTGAATAAAAGTTTATTGATTTTATTTATGTATTTGACATACTCATCCGAGCAAAGCATGCCAGCTCAAGATTCAACTTTTGTTAATAATATTATGCGTAATGATATATACATTTTTTTTTAATAGAAAATTAGAAAAGATTGCCGAATGCTGTAGGAAACTGAAACTGTCTGGAATGAAAAACATAGGTGTAGATGATTCCGTAATAATTGAGGAACCAGTAGATTATCAAATGTTGTTAACAGAAAATAAATATCCAAAATGCCTCATAATTGAAAAGCAGTGATACAATCTTAAAGCAGATAACCTGCAAAGAATTTGTTGATAATTGATAGTTACACTATTATCGAATATTTAATCATTTCATGACTTGAGATATTTACTAAAGCAACCAAAAAAAAAAAACTTTTATTGTTTAGTGTACAACACTTCAAACACTATTTAAAGCATATTACAACTGCTTCCTAATGCCATGGTGAACAGTAGATTTACCTGTGAAAATGTAGTAATGTTTTCTTTGTGTGTGTAGCTGTATGAGTGAATTCAGCTCTCTCTCTCACTGCGCTTTTCAGGTGAAGGTGACGGAGGAGTCGTCGCAGTACGAGTTTGAAAACTACATGCGCCAGCAGCTGCTGCTGGCCGAGGAGAAGAACACTATCCACGAGGCCAAGAGCTTCCTGAGCAAGAGGCCCTTTGGCAATGTACCGCCAGTGAGGCGCCTGGGCCACGACGCTCAGCCCGTCAGCCCGCTGGACGCAGCCATACTGGCCCAGCGCTTCCTCAGGAAGTAGCACCATGGCAACGCCTGCGGCCAGGAGCAGGTCACTGTGAGCGGGATGCCCCATGGAACCGGCTTCGTGTGTGGCTGTGTGTGTTTGTGTGTTTTTGAGAGTGTTTGGGTGGGAAGACAGTGCGTCAAGCATATAATTTTTTTTAATTATTTTATTATTATTTTTTTTTAAAATCCCTTTGGTTCCTTTGACTGGCCGAGGAACCGGACTCTGGCTTGAGCAGCACACAGAAACTGTGGGGCTTAGACCCCTAACATATGCCCGCTCCCTCTCACTCTGACGGACATTATCAGCAATACCGGAACTGAATCATGTAGCAAATGGGCACACACAGACACACACATACATACATCTCTCATTCTCCTTTTCTACTCTCTCAGCACTTTCCATGGGAACATCTCAGATCACCGGACCTCCATCTCTCCTTCTGCCCGTCTCTCCCTTTTCCCCTTAAATCAGACCCATCCGCGTTGGTCCCATCTGCATCCACGACTGCCAATCTACCTCTTACGGTCTCTCTGTTTCTGTCTGTCAGTCCGTTCAGAACTATGCTCTCGGATTTATTTTTTTTATTATTATTATTATTTTTTTTTTTTTGAAAACAAGTATCCAAATATGGGGGTAGTGCCACAAGCACAGGCTTAAGAGCATTATTATTTTGGTGTGGAACTCTTTTGGCGTGTCAAAACCAGCGATTAGTTTTGCCTCACAATCTGAATAAGCTTTTTTTTTCTCCACTTAGAAAAAGTAGCATTTTACATAATGTTCTGTTTTTTTTTCATTGAAGATTAATTTGCTCAGTCTTGCCAGCTGTAACCTCAGTTATGAAATCGTGCTATAACGCAAGGTCTCTGTATTCCTTCCTCCCTTGATTGGGCATTCACAGGCAGCTAGTGTTGTACAGCTCAAAGTCTAGATGCCAAGAATGGGATGGAAAGAGTCACTTAAGTCACCTCTTTACATCCTGCAGCCCAGTGAGGTACGATATGCTCTCCATGAATTTTATTTTATTTTTTTTGGTAATTTGCATCTAATCCCACATGGACATTTCTTTTATACACATTTTCCCCCAACCATCAAATAATACATGCCTTCTGGTGCTGTTCTTAGTATAACAGGTTATGGTGCTGGTAGTGCAGCATGCTGAGGGTTTGGGTCATTTGGGTCAGCGCTGTGAGGAGATCGGGGAGCTGAAGGTGAGCTGAGGCCATCAGGAAGCAGGAAGGCTTAGGCTGCAGTCACGCAGAAGTGTAAGCTTCATTAAGCCCTGTAAGCGCCTCCCTTAAGCTCTCTGCCGCTCCCGTAGTGACCAAGGCCAGCCTCACAGGCTGCTGTGGCTTTGAAGAGCCGTCACCTCTTTGAAGTGCATCTCCTGCAACAAGTTCACGGTTCTATTGTGTTTATTAAGCAGAGAGATCATGGCTGCCCTTCAGGCCAGGGTACTGGGGAACGACTACTAAGAACTAAACGTAGGATGCAAACCCGAAGTAGTCAGCATTGGCTAGGAATGTATAACCAACCCTAATCCTCGCCTTCCATTCTTTTAATGCCATTTTCTTTATGTATCATGCATAAAAAAATGAGCATAATCCTCTTAATACAGTGGTCTCCTCAGTGTGTATTTTCTCCATCACTGTTGATGAGAATGTTGCAGGATATAAGTATTTACAATCTTGTTTGGACTGTTTTCCAATCCCATTAAGCTACTTTTACAAATCATAGCCACTGAATATCTTGCCTTAGATTGAGAGATTGTCATTTCAGCAGTGAGCAGTGAAAATGTATCCTTGATGCTCCAGTATATCTTAGTAAACAGGTGGTGAACGTGACTTAGTTTGTGAGGTCCTGGCTGGTTCCACTAATATGTTTTAAGGAAAAACAAATCCAGTACTGTACTGGTCTCTGAGCTTCTCACCACAGTTCTAATTATGTTATTTCTGTTCTTAGCTTTTCAAGGCTGAAGCAGTTCTACAGGCAGCATGAATGAATCTGCTTGGCTTTTCTTGTTTTATTCCTTTCCATGGGTGTTCATTTTTATTTATTCGCTATGTATAAATGAACTTGCTTTCATCTGTTATTTTGAACTCCCCCTGTCCTCTTAAGGTGTGAAGTATCATGAGATCATCGCATAATCTGACTCTAAAGCGTTGCTGTGATCTTTCTTTTTTCCCCAGTAATCCCCAGTAAAGGTTTTTATTTCCCTTTTCTTTCTTTTCTTTTAAAATCTTGAGTAATTGTTGCCACAATCCTGATGGTTTATTAAGCTAATAACGAGACTGACTTTGCATAGCTCTATTTTTACGCAAACTAAATTATAGCACACATTAGAATGACATTTAGAAACGATGTAGAGTTTATCCTGCAAGTTTGATACAACACCGCACTCTGGCCAGTGTGTAAATACCATCTTGATGGCGAGTTGTGTCCGTAGTACCAAAAAAAAAAAAAAAAACAGTAGGCTGCCATTCTGCAGAGTTACACCAATGCTTTAACACGAGATGAGTACTTGTCAAAGTGAGTTTGCCTGCCACCATTGAAAGCATTAGTCTACTCCCACCTCAATGTGAATATTTTAGGGTATAAAGCAGTATTGTAGATGGCATGCATGCCAGAGAGAGAGAGAGAGAGAGAGAAAGAGAGAGAGAGGGAGTTTGTGTGCGAGAATTATCTGCGGGGCAAATGTAAGCACCAGATCCCTCTTCTCTCAAATTAAAAAAACATGAGCGCCCCATCATCCATTAGCAGCAGGGCAAAGTAGTGATCCCTCAGCGCCATCTTCTCATCGTAAATCTGTAGGTTTACAATGTAACTGTCGATGGTGTGCTTGTATAGTTGGTACCCTAATCTAGAGGAGCTACGTTTAGGTCATTATTGCTGTTAAATGAATGCCCGCCCTATTTAAGTGTCTGAACAGAATCGCTCCCCGCCTAGACAGTTTTCTGTAGCGCCCTTGGCATCAGATGGCCAAGCTGTACTTGCAGCATGAGAAGTGTTTGTTGTTGAGCTATGTTGTTTATACATTTAAAAGAAACTAATGCATGACTCAGACTTGCGAGATGTGCCACAAGATCTCTGCAATTAGCATACCAGATCGTTTGGATGGTAGTGGGTGTTTTCAAAAGTGAAATTCATATTCCAATTGCAAATACACTAAAAAAGAGAAGACTCATCTCAGCAGTGATAAATTGGGAGGATTCGTTTTGAGGTTTCAGAGCAGTTTTTGTTTGGAAGATTTGATTTTTCTCGTCCTGTCGTATAAGCATTTGCATATTTTACTAACTGGAAACTTAAATTGGTGTAGAATGAGATGATGGTAAAATTAGTTCAAAGCCTAAAAGTTTGGTGTTGTAAGCTGCTTGGATGGATAGATATTAAAGAAGAAACTGGGAAAATGTACAGAGATAAAAACAAATTTGTATAAAAGACATATTTTTGTACTTCATAAAATCTCTACATGCATGTCAGCAATAAACTTTGATATGGAAAATCCTGGTTTATGTCTTTATTTACTTGGGTTTGCACATTGGTATTCATGCACATTTACTCAGTAATTCCCATTGCTTTCATTCTCCAAAGAGCTGGAGAGGAGCTTTTCTTAAAAGACAACAGTAGCCATGACAACATTCAAAGGAGTAAAACTATCTGTTATTTTTCTCTCTCTCTCTCTTTCTCTCTCTCGCTCAAATGTTTCTGATTTCTACATAAGTATTTGAGAGAGAGCTATACTAGGTTCAAACTAGGTTACCTGGCTGAGAATTTTTCAGCGCTGGTCAGTGTCCATGCTGTTGAATGACCAATGAACATTAAAACCATGCAGTGCTAAACTAATTGAGAGCTGAAGTGTTCATAACATAATGATGGCAGAGCTTATTTTACTGGTCTTCATCTAACAAGGAATTTCTCACTTTGTGTTGCTAATTTATTCTCTATGTAAGCAGTATATTGCTTGGGTCAGTAGTGAGGGAAGGGGAAGTATCACACGCTTGTGTGCAGTGGATTTTAAAGTGAATACTGCCCTCTAGTGGAGTAATAATGACAGTGCCTTCATCAGTATAGGCACAATAATGACAATGTTATTACATTGGTTTAAACAATCAATCAATAAATAATACGAAAACACAATACAATGCAGTAGTAGCACTTATAGTTGACTGGGGCAGAAAATTTACTAAATTCCACTGGCAGTGGAAGTTGTCTGTGGAGATTGCAAGGCTATATGCTTAATTTTATCCACCTGTTAGCAATGGATGTGGCTGAAACTCCCAAACTCAATATTTCAGAGGGGTGTCCACATTCTTTTGGCCATTTATTGTATTTAGGACTTTGGGAACTCCCAGTATTATACTGCATGCATTATATTTTACATGCAATGGTATTTACAGTTATAAGATATGAATAAAAGTGAAAAATAATGATGTACTTATTAAAAATAAGAAAAAAAGAAAAAAGAGCTAATGAGAAGAGTTAATGCTTATGAGTCAAAGGAAAAGTCTTATGTTTTTCCTCAAACCTATAATTTTCTAAAAAAACAAAGTTTTCAAAATGTAAAAATAAATGTATAATTTGTGTTTGTGGGGACGAGGAATTCCGTACCCACTGAGACAGCGTGAGGCCAACTATACTCTCATGGACTTCCGGACACGGATGAGTGGAGATCAAACTTGTTAGCTGGTATTCTGACTGCAATAGATTCACCTGTGTTTCTGAGAGGAGGAAAGCTGAAAATGATGAAGTACAGAAACGCACAACATTCAGACAGATCCAGGCAAGACTTGGTTTCTTGCCTTATCAAAACTGGGATTGGGAACGACTGCCTTAACCCCTTAAAATTCCCAATGTTTTATTACACACTTCTATAACCTAAGAATAGCTCCATTAGTTTGCACTGAAGTCCCTGTACTTACTGAATAATAAGCCTTACTATGAAATAAACCTGGATTGTTGAGGGATTAAACACATCTAAGCAACAGCTGATTAAGATCACATACATTACATGCACACAAGGCACCCATATGTGCTGTAATGGCAAAACTGAGGTCCGCAAACAAATTCCTCCACATTGTTTGTGACTGAAATATTTGGTCCTTTGTTCTTATCCCCAGCATGTTCAGAGAGTTTATGGCATTTTCAAACACTAAAACACATTTCTAAAAAAATAAATCAATTTTGCTCAATGCTGGTGACCAAATCAAGTTCAATGTAACAAATAAGAACCACAAAATGCTGAAGTGCATTTTTTTTATATAAGGAGCGCCTACACAGTAAAATGTGGGCTTATGCTTGAATAAAGTACTTCAGTAGGCTGCTTGAAATATTAAAAGCACTTTGTGTTACATTCTTTCTGGCTAATTTCTGTTCACTGAAGGAAATAAAGGGTAATGCTTTACACTAAGCTTCCCTTAACTAAAACTGCTTACTGCTTTGATTAACATTTGCGATTCGTGAATTTCAGCAGTAAGACACCATAAGTACTGTTACTTATGTTAAGTGATTAATTGGTTTATTGATTGATGTTTGTTGAATGTTAACTTAATAATGAGCACCTGTAACTAATGTTTCTTCCATTAATTAAATCCACAATGATCAACGTGTAATACCACAATTGATATGTACTTTGCGGTTAATTCAAAGAAGTCATAAATGTGGCTAAATTGCTCATTTCCAAATTTCTATAGTCTTTTTTATGTGATAACATTTATGAATTTGGTAGTAGTTGGTAAGTAATTGTAAAGTTAAGTATATGATCTGTTTTACAAAGGGTAACATCAGTGCTCAATCTATATTACATATCATCAATATTACTACACCATTTAACATAATTCAACACAGCAGCTGTCCTGTGTGAAAATTTAAGGATGAATGGACCAATAGAAATGTTTCAAAATCTCCTCGAATGAAACCTCTTTACATCAACTTACATTACAATTTAAAAACATTTGCCGTCTCCTGTAAAGCTATCCTGTAAGGGAGTTTTCTTTCTTTTTTCTTCTTCTTTTTTTGGACAGCAATAATATACAAATGGCAGTGATTAAACACTTGCTGGATGTGAAGATTCACTTTACAGTAATCAACACCAATACATTAATTCTGAAATACTGCTTCATAACAAGGTGTGATAACAATATGTTGATAATCCACTGAAGACATGCCATTGTATGTAAATTTTAGAACCCAGAATTAATTTGAGGAACAGTTCATGTTAACTAATGCAGACATTCAATGATTTGGCTAATATTTAAACAAATCAATTACTTTGTTAACAAATCACTTTGCTAACATTACCTGTGGTGTATAATGTTGGTGTGCATATTGTCGTAAAGAATGCTAGATAAGGGATCCAGTATGTAAAAACATACCAAATGAAACTATAATACAGCCCTTGCAATGAAAAACAGCATAGGTGACATTATTTGTTAAAAAAAATTAAATGAGTATGGTATGGCACTGTTTAATGCCCTGTATTTAAATTAATACATATAATAATTTGACTTTTTAATGTAAAAGGTTGTACAAAAAAGTGTGAAATGGTTAATAAATTGCTGCTATCATAACAAAACCTTGTATTGTAGTTTTTGACATAATTTGAAAATGCCTACAGCCCTTAACAGATTTGTAGATTTCATGATGAGTGGACCAAAAAGAAATGGCCCAAAGGTCTGGTTACATAAACTTGCATTAAATGTAAAGTATGCTTTTCCTTCTCCTGTAAAGTTCTCATTTTGGAGATATGAGGTTTTGTTCTGACAGCAGTGATGTGGTTTTTCATTTGATTATTGCCACTAAAAGCAATCTGCTGAAATTTTCTTCAAACTGAACTAGTAACTGTACAAAATGGATCATACTTTCATTTTATTCCTGAGTTTCAGTTCAGCCCTCACCTGCTTTAGGCCATTTGGTCATACTGACGTTGGAAGTAGATATTAAGCATTTTGAAAGGCTGCTGTGGTTGTTATTGTCTTCTTTGTTTTCCATTTCCTGTGCTTGAGATGTGAGACCGGATCTGAGAGAAACAAAATAAAGACTCAGTAGTTTCGGGATGAATGTATGAGGCTCATGGCAGCGTGTGAAAGACCAGAATGAAATGCTCAGCCTGTGCAAGATGGCTTTATACACTGTAGATTTCCAGTGACATACAGCTGTAAATTGAAACAGTCCGAAGACATAAACAGTCAGAAGATGAAAACACTGTATTTTTCCAGTGACATACAGCTGTAAATGGAAACAGTCAGAAGATGAGATGGAGATCAAAGAATATTACATTCAAATGAGCTCTCTATAAGCTCTTAAGAAAACTGCACTGTATCTAAAGCATGTATAATGTGTTAGTTTCCACCACAGCCTGTTTAGAGTTAATGTTCTGATGTTGCTCCACTCCTGGAGGTTGATGTTGCTCCATTCCTGGAGGTCCCAAACTAATTTCATGCTTCAGAATTATACAAGCCCATTGCCCAAACCACTACCCCTCACTGTTGCCTCCACATTAAAGACACAGACCAGTAATCTGTTAGTGATCTGATACACTGTTGTTAAATCGGAGACATTTGTAATGAAGTGCTTTGTTGTGGGTGGGTGATCTGTTGTTAGCTGCCCAGATGGGACTTTCCAGTCCCCTGGCACAAAGCTTGGTTGGATTGTGGTTGATGGAGTCTACTAAAGATGGGCAGGAGAGTTAAGAGTTTTATGAAAAGATATACAATACTGTGCAAAAGTCTAAGGCTTCTGAGCAAAAATGGTGTAAAGCCATTTACCTGGTGGGTAGCAATTATTTGTTTAAAAAACACTAAACACTAAGCACAGTACTGTATGAGAACTGTATGTATATATCAGGTCTGTGTATCTGTAACTGTTATCTGTCAGTATTATTTACATATGGTCTCTGAAAACTTCAGTAGTCTTAAAGGGAAATCCCACCGATTTTTCAAAATTTCTGCATAATTCAAGAGAAAGAGAAACTTACCAACTTGGATTTTTCTTTTTCAATGGTGGTGACAGGAAACAGGGATCACAATGTCTACAATGCAACTTTTTGCCATTTTATTTTTATCATTGAAAACCAGAAGTTAACCTACATCTTCCAAGTTTATTTATTTATAATGTTTATGATGGTAAAATGATGGTGAATCTGAAAAAATGTTTCTTTGGAAATATTTTGCATTAGAACACCATAAGTGTACCCATTCTATCATGAATGTGTTTTAAAAGCATGTTCTAGGGCAAAAACTTTACTTCAAAACTATTGTAAAGCAATGTATCAGGCTTCATGCAGCAGATTCGTAACCATTTTGTGTAGTAGCTTTCTGTGATGTAACCTTTAGAGACGTCTGGTTCCTATCACCAACATTGTGAATAATTCTGACTCGGTAAGTTTCTCTAGAACTCTAGAATCAGTAGCAAGTTGAAGCAGCACACATCTGATATTTTCCTCATCTTTTCAGAGCTGTGTGAACTCAAACATCTAATTTTCTCAAATCAGATCTAAGACATTTTTTT